ACTATGTATATTTTCAACAACAACAAAAAAAAAGGTTGAGAAGTTAGAGGGTTGACATGTTGTGGGGTTGTTAACCAATGTCATAAAACAATATGGGTACTACTGTTTCATGAGAAACTATTTGTTCTGTAAGCCTTCACCGGAAGTACAATAAAAAAAAAATTAAAAAAAATGTTCAAGAGCCACATACATATAAAGGCTGCCATACTGGACATCTTCCTTCTTGGGAATTAGAGGCTGGGTTTAACCAGTTGGCTGAGGTGTGGGGCCAGAATTCTCCCTGAAGAACGTCACTGCACACCTTTCCTTGCCATGATGTGGTTAGCAATATAGGTAGCTTCTCAGGGGAAAATAATGATCATTTTAGAATGAATTCATCAGAAAAGTAGCAGATTATGCCTATTATGGTGCTCCTACCACTTTAGCCAGAAAACACCCCAGGTGCTTTCTGCAGATTTGACCTTATTATAGAAGCCAAGGTCCTGTGTTAGTCAGGTTGTGGGAAAATTTGGAAAGACTACATCAAACCAAATATCACAGGGCCTCTCTTAGACTGCCAACCAATATTCATTCCCTCAGTTTGATTATCTTTAAAAATATAAATACCAATGAGAAAAAGATGTCATATATTCATGATATTCTATTCCTGTTAGAATGTTGTTCTTGTTAGTTGCTGTTGACTTGGCTTTCACTCATGGCAATCTTATGTATAACGGAATGAAACATTGCCCAGTCCTGAGCCATCTTCATGATCATTGGCATGATAGAGTCCATTATTGTGGCCGTTGTATAGTGCCTTCCATCCCAGGGGACTCATCTGGCAGTACATATTGGACAATTTTCTGATGTGATCCATAAGGTTTTCTTTGGTTAGTTTTTGGAGTTGATTACCAATCCTTTCTTCCTAGTCTCTGATAGTCTGGAAACTCTACTGAAACCTGCCCACAATGGGTGACCCTACTGGTCGTTGAAATACCCAAGGGATAGCTCCCAGCATCATAGCCGCATGCAAGCCTCCATAGTATGACAAACTGACAGACAGGTGGTGGTCCATTATAATAAGCACTCTTCATTCAATTTTGTAGTATTTAACCTTTGCAAATTCCCTTTGAATTTGTGAAGAGCCACACCATTGTGAACAGAGAAAGTAGAGAAAAGTTATTGTGTAGTATCTGCCAAAAATGACATAGTCTTCTCACATTTGCTTCTTTTCTGTCTTCATTTTGCTACAACAATTCACAAGCATTTTAATTTAGAACTCAAGGATTTTCTTGTCCTTAAAAGGGAAAAAGAATAAACAACAAATCTTGAGTGTAGACCAGATGTTGTAGTGAAAGGAAGGAATTTATGGTACACATGTCCACCTCTCTGATAGGCCAACTCTAATCTGATATCTTTGGGGCAAATAGTCAAACCCCGGAGCTGTTATAATAAATCCCCTCATAAATTTGATTTACAAGCCAATCTTTCCTGTGGTGTGTCATCAGAATTCTACTTGTATCCTGCTTCTTTCTCTTGATTTAGGAACACAAGTACTGGAAATAGCGGTCCTTTTGTGTGAAAGGTTTACTAATTTGCAGTGCTCACCTAAAGACAATGATTCCCACAACTGAAAGTGAAACAAACATACTGCCAACAGGAATAACGTCACATTAACTCCAAAAGTAATATAAATCTTTTATATATTGAGGAAAGTACTAGGACCAGAGAATTGTCACACAACAGAAACATTATATATCATTCATGCATTAAATTCTTCTCATCTGTTGTTGACGTTACCCATGTATTGTGAAGCAGCACCTGCTCTTGGAGACCATTCCTACGTGGTGGTCACTATTTCTGTGTAACAGGATGTTGGCCTATAATATTTATTCCTCCTCTTTTTCTTTTCCCCAGGCTGACCTTTTTACTCCCTTCTTTTAATGCTCCCAGCCCTTTTTGGTAGGTGGTGATTTATTAATTTTTTATTAACTTCATTGAATTATAATTAATACTCAATCAAATGCCCACATTTAAAGTCTTTTGTTCCATGAATTCTTAAAAAAATCAACTTTAATTTGCAATTAGTTAGACACAATAAAATTTACCAATGTTACATCTATAATTCAATGAGATTGATAAATGGCTAGTTATATAACTACCAACATTACCACATTCTAGAATATTTACCTTACCCCTAAAATTTCTCTTATAGCATCCTTAATATTAAATAGTATTTTCTATTATTGGACAAGAAATAGTCTTTGCAAAGCATGAAAGCAGTAAGGGGAGGATAGTGGGACATTCTATTGCTAACAGTTAAAATATCAAAAAGGCCTCCTTCAGATAGTCTCCGTGGTAAATAACTGAGGATCCTAATATCATTATTTATTTTATATTATTATTATTATTCAAAAAACAATTATTACATTTCTGGAAGGAGAATTTCCTGATGAAACGATTGAAAAAGTCATAATTTTTAGTTTGAGGTCAATCTCAAAACACATACATAACCTTGAAGTTCTAAGTGGAAAGAATTAAAAAACTGGGACAAGAAACTTTCCTGTGATCGATTCGCAAATGCTTCTTTCCACCCTCTGTGAGTCTCTGAGGCTGGATGGAAATGGAACCAAGAGGAAGCAGAGCATTTAACTGCTGCATGATAAAATTTAAATAAAAGAGTCAGGTTTCCTTAAGGACAAAGTATGTATTTCTGCTCTTAAATTAAATATTTTTCTGCAGAGGGGCTTGATCACTAGTTAAATATTTTAGGAGAGCTAGATTCAGAGCAGGTCTAAAACTTCTAGTATAAACACTGCTCTTGCATATAATTAAAAAAATAGCTAACACATAAAATATAAGGCATAACTACAATGCTCTTTAGAAGTGATGGAGAATGATGAGACTTTGTCAGGCTCACTCTGGACATGTCATTAGGAGCGATCAATGGCTAGAAAAGGACATCATGTTTGGTAAAGTAGAGGGTCAGTGAAAACGAGGAAAATCCTTCATGAGTTGGACTGACTAGTGCTTGCATAAATGAAATCAAACGTACAAAGTTGTGACAATGGCGCTAGACCCGGGATTGTTTTGTTGTGTTATACTTAAGGTCACCATGAGTTGGAGCTTCAAACCCAGGCAGTCTGGCATCCAAACCAGTAGTGCTGGCATGAAAAAATGCCACTGAGCGCTCAAGACATCACTCCCACTCTCCACCTCCATGGGAACCCTTGCACCATTTAAAACCTTCCAGTTTCATACTGACATAACCACGTGTTGAATTAAAGCCCTCCCAGACTATTCCTCTTATGCCTTTCTCTCTGTCCTGTGCAGATGTTGCATTCTTAACTCTACTACAAGAAATTCCAACACAGGAAAGCTATGGTAACTTCTTATCTCTCTAGGAGGTCAGCAGAGTTTGGGCATCTCAGAATATGTTTATGGTGGTGATGACATTGAAAAATGGATGATGATGGTGGAAGATTAGGATGAGAGAGCAATAGCAGTGCCAGTTCTACAATGAGAGAATTACAGGGACCAGAAGTGTGAAACCGAGATCGGAGGTTCAATGCTTGGGTTTCTGCACAAAGTTGTTGCACTGATTGGAATCTGGGCTTTCATTTTTTCCTGTCATTCTATGTATGCTGTCTTGGAGTCCTACCAGAGGACGCAGCAGGAGGCAAGGAAGCAAAGACAAGGTACTTATTCAATAGAGGATGAGTTTCTCAGCATCTCTCACTTTCACTCTGGGCTGCCTCCTTTGGTGGTGTTCGCAGACCATAAACCCAGGGTTCCCATCCTAGCAGGTGGGGGTGGGGGGGAAGCCACTAGCAGGCATCTTTCCTCCCTCACCCATTTGACCTTTTCTATGAGAATGTCCCCATAGTCTCAGAAGGTGGGGTAGATGGCGGCACCTACACTTTAAGGTAGAGATATTATCAGGGAGCCCCAGGGGCCAAGATCAAATACCAGTGTTCCTCAGTCTTGCACCAGGGAGGAGGGGCTGGGGTGAGGGGAACGCAACTGCAGTAGAAATAGCCCAAACTGTGGAAACTGCTTCCCACAAGACACCATGGCCCGAGCTCTTAGGTGGTTGCTGCTGTCTCTTCTTCTGCTGCTCTTCTGTTCCTGTGCGCAGAGTTTCCTCAAGAGATGGACTCGGGGTGATCCATCCAGCACAGCAAAGCACCTTAGGAGTCACTGGTTCCAGCAAAAGCTGGACCATTTCAGCAAAAAGAGGTCGCGATTCTGGCTACAGGTAAAATCTGATGACCAGGGCAGGTAATGACAGTTGTGGGATGGTGTGAGCTTGAGGCACTGAGGAGGGTGCCACTGAGGTTTGGTAGGTAGAGGAGACATGGGGAGTGTTTTCAATCCCTGGAAGGTATGCAGTTCAAACCCATCCAGAGACACCATGGACGAAAGCCCTGACAATGTGCTTCTAACAGGTCACAGCCTTGAAAATCCTATGGAGCACAGTTCTACTCTGAAATTTATGGACAAACCATGAGTCGGAATAGACTATGTGGCTTCTGGTTTGTTTGTTTTTTAAACTGTACTAGGCATTGTGCTAGGTAATTTATATCACCTTGCACTTTCTAGAATTTTTTTTACATTTTTTGTTTTCATTATGAAATATTTTCTGTATTTATAGATATAGAGATATAGCTGTGTGTGTGCCTGTTGAGGTTAACTACTGGAAGTGTTTTATCATAGTTATTCTCATCTCTTCAATGATTATTTTTATATGTGGACCTTGAAACAGTTGCTGGGGGTACTTGGCCAAAGCCCAAATACTATCAGATGAGTAAGCTAGCAGAAACCCAGAGAGGGCTGCTACAAAGGTGAATTCTGATATGTTTCTTGTTTTATTTTATTAATTTTTGGCATTAAAGAACAGAAATATATTTTCTCACAGTTCTGGAGGCTAAACATCCAAATCAGGTTCTCGGCCATATCGATTCCTTCTGTGAGCCTCTCTCTTAGTTTTTGGTGTCTGCTGGCAATCCTTGGCACTCCTTGATATTCTTTGGCATTCCCTGCGGTTGTCTTCTTCCCTGTATGTGTCTTTATGTCTATTCTGCTCTTTTTACAACTTAGAAGTGATTAAGTGTAGGGCCTACCCTCCCTTGGTATGACCTCATTAGCATAACTAAAGAAAATCCCTCTTCCCAAGCAGAATACTGGTGGCACAGTGGTTAAGAGCTATGGCTGCTAACCAAAAGGTCTGCAGCTTGAATCCATGAGCCACTCCTGGGAAACCCTAGGGGGGCAGTTCTACTCTGTCCTATAGGGTTGCTATCAATCAGAATCGAATCAACAGTAATGGGTGTTTTTTCAGTGGTGTGCATATTTTGGGGAACACAATTCAATCCATCACAATTTCCAAGACAACTCCATAGTGTAGGAAGGGCAAGTATTACAATTCCTGGGAGCAAACTGAGGTTACAAAGAGGCTAAAAGCTTTGCCCAAGGACTGTCTACAGCAAACAAGTAAAAGGACTGAGTTTAGAATCCTGGTTATTTGACTTTTAATCCAATGCTCTTTCCACTCTGTCCAAACAGGGTATCTCTAAAATGTTTGCTCTATTTGGATATCAGATAGTGAAGAGCTTTCAGCTCCTTGTTAAGGAATTTTGACCTCATCCAGGAAACAATGTGGAGCAACTGAAAGGTTTTGTGCAAAGGACATGACATGTTTAAGTCACTGCCTGAGGGACACAGACCTGGATGCTGTAGGGTGTGTTAGTGGAATAGACATCTTGAGAAGAGGGATGGTAGATCACTTACCATAACTACAACCTGGACTTGGTTTAAATAAATAATCTTGGTTTATTTTTAATTCATGTTTCTTACTCTTGTACATCATTATATTAGTTTTAATATTTGTTTTTAGTTTTGTTGTTAAAAGTAATTTCACTCAAATCTAACAGACATGAATAAAGCTCACAAGTTTTAAATTTTTTTGTTTGCGTGGATTTTTACCTTTCGTTTAACATTTTATCCAACTGAAACATAAGTTCTATGTAATTTTGTATTCTGACTCCAAAACTATTTTTGTTCTTAGATGCCATCAAGTTTCAACTCATAGCAACCCTGTGTAAAACAGAACGAAACACCGCCTGGTCCTGCGCCATCCTTACAATCATTGTTATGCTTAAGCTCATTGTTGCAGCCACTGTGTCAATCCATCTCATTGAGGGTCTTCCTCTTTTTCACTGACCATCTACTTTACCAAGCATGATGTTGATCCCTCCTGACAACATGTCCAAAGTATGTGAGATGTAGTCTCACTATTTCTGCCCCCAAGGAGCACTCTGATTGTAGTTCTTCCAAGACAGATTTGTTTGCTCTTTTGGCAGTCCATGGTATATTCAATATTCTTCTCCAACACCACAATTCAAAGGCATCAGTTCTTCTTCAGTCTTTTTTATGTATCATCCAACTTTCACTGGCATAGGAGGCGATTGAATACGCAATGGCTTGGGTCAGGCTCACCTTAGTGTTCAAGGTGACATCTTTGCTTCTCCACACTTTGAAGAGGTCTTTTGCAGTTGATTTGCCCAATGCAAGGCGTCTTTTGATTTCTTGACTGCTCCTTCATTGGATGTTGATTGTGCATCCAAGTAAAATGAAATCCTTGACAACTTCAATCTTTTCTCCGTTTATCATGATGTTGCTTATTGGTCCAGTTGTGAGGATTTTTGTTTTCTTTATGTTGAGGTGTAATCCATACTGAAGGCTATGGTCTTTGATCTTCATCAGCAAGTACTTCGAGTCCTAGTTCTCCAAATATTAATTTACAACTTTAACTTCTGCTTCATCAACTTAATGGTAGTTTCTAGAGGGGCCTGAGCACCATTCAGGAGTCCTGGGTTTGGTAGCACAAATGGTTAAGCACTCAACTACTAGCTGAAAGATTGGTGCTTTGAACCCACGCAGAGGCACCTTGGAAAAACCTGGCAATCTGCTTCAGAAAGGTCACAGCCTTGAAACCCCTAAGAAGTATAGTTCTACTCTGTACGCATGCAGTAGCCATGAGTCAGAATCAATTTGATGAACCCTGGTTTGGTTTTTTGGTTTCAGAACATTTCACTGAGCTAACAAGCCATCCTTCGCTGAACCTTTTAGTTTTGGAGGAATATTTTCATTTATTTTTTGTTTTGTTTGCTTTCCCAGTTGCATAAATTTTCTATAAATTGGTTGCTAGAACTAGAGGGTTGATCCAATTCAGTTTCTTTGTTTTTCGAGAGCGTGGAAGACTACTTCATAGATAATGGCAAGTTGTTTCATGCAGAAATATGTCATGCCTGAAATATCTTTTTATGATTATTATTATGGTAGAAACTGTTGATGCCCAATGCCTAGATCTATCAATTTTTTGAGGCCTTGCAAAGTGACAAGATTCTAATTTTATCATTCTTCATTGATTAGCTGGAATACATGTGTAAAAGAGCCTTTCCATCTATTATTTCATTACATGGTGACAAAATTTGTACTGGAAAGACAGTATAAATGCTTGACTATTTCTCTTTTTTTATCATATTTTAAAAGTACAGTAAGGATAACAGATTTAGAATATCACACAATCATTCATTTTCTTTACCTAATCTTACACAGCAGTCTCAGAATAACACCAACACAGCCATTAATATTATAATTACTGAAAGGTCATTAAAACATTTCTTTGCAGTCTATTTGCCCATGAGGTTGATTCTTCTAAAGATGCACATACAGTTAAATTACTGGCTTTGCAACATTCACTCAGAATTTTTTCTCTGGGTGTGGTTATGTGACTAATAAGATATCATTTGTGTCTATTTATTTTATAATTTTTAATAATAGGCTTTGTAAAATTCAATTTTGTCTTATAATTACCTAAAATATTTACATGCTTCCAAAGTCAAAACAACAAAACAAGATATTGCGGTAAACTCTATTTTGAGTGGTATTATTATTCTTAACGCTTCTCTCTCTGACTTTATAAAAGATGAAACCCTTCTTCTCTTTTACACTAAAACTTTCTACCTTTTCTTCTTACTTTTCTACTTTTATTAGTGATATTATAGCTTATGTTTCTTTTTTTATAATTTATTTATTTTTTGTTGCTGAGAATATACACAGCTAAACATACACCAATTCAACAGTTTCTACATGCACAATTCAGTAACATTGTTTCCATTCCTCCAGTTGTGCAATAATTCTCACCCTCCTTTTCTGAGTTATTCCTTCCCCATTAAGTTAATCTCACTGCCCCCTAAGGTTCCTGTGTAATCTTTCAAGTTACTGTGGTTAAACTGTTCATAGCAGAACCATTAGAATAGGAGCAGATGGAAAATAAATCAAATGCTCATCAATAGAATGCTAGTTTAATTATTATGGTATACCCACACAAGAAAATGTGAAGTAGCTGTAAAAGAGAGTGAGGAATATTTAAACATCTTTATATATTGCTATGTAATGACCTCCAACATATGACAGTATATGAAAATAGCAAAATGGCACTTAATCTAAAAAAAGGAGAAAAATGTGATATATATATATATATATATAAAAAGTAAAGAAAAGTGCATTTAAAAATTAGTAAAAATGTTTACATATAATAAGAGGGAGGTGAAAGTTTTAGGAAATAAAAATTATCTCAGTTTTCTCAGAATATACTTAGTTTTGCAGGTTTTGCTTTGTTGTTGTTCTTGTTGTTTTTAGGTGCTGTCAAGGCGGTTCTTACTCATACGGAACCTATGTACAACTGTCATGGATTGAATTGTGTCCCCCAAAAATATCTGTCATCTTGGCTGGGTCATGATTCCCAGTATTGTACGATTGTGTAATCTGATGTGATTTCCTTATGTCTTGTAAACTCTATCACTATGATGAGATTATATGTGATCTCCTTATGTGTTGTAAATTCTATCACTGTGGTAAGGTTATACTGATGAGGTTGACAAGATTAGATAGTGTCTTAATGCAATCTCTTTGGAGATATAAAAGACAGAAGCTAGCAGAGACACATGGGAACCTCATACCACCAAGAAAGTGTGCCGGGAGCAGAGCGCGACCTTTGGACCTGACGTTCCTGCACGGAGAAGCTCCCAGACCAAGGGAAAACTGATGACATGGACCTTCCTCCAGAGCTGACGGAGAAAGCGTTCCCCTGGAGATGACACCCTGAATTTGGACTTGTATCCTACTGGACTGTGAGAGAATAAACTTCTCTTTGTGAAGCCATCTACTCATGGTATTCCTGCTAGAGCAGCACTAGATGACTAAGACAACAACAGAATGAAACACTGCCCGAAACGGCTACATCCACATGATCTTTGTTATGCTTGAGCCCATTGTTGCAGCCATTGTGTTAGTGCATCTCATTGAGGATCTTCCTCTTTTTCAGTGACCCTCTATTTTACCAAGCATGATGTCATTCTCCAGGGACTCATTTCTCCTAATAACATGTCCAAGGTATATGAGCCAAATTCTCACCATCCTTGCCTCCGAGGAGCATTCTGGCTGTATTTCTTCCAAGACAGATTTGTTCTTTCTTTTGGCAGTCCATGGTATATTCAATATTCTTCATCAACACCATAGTTCAAAGACATCATTTCTTCTTCAGTCTTCCTTATTCCTTGCTCACGTTTCACATGCATATGAGGCAACTGAAAACACCATGGCTTGGGTCAGGCACACCTTAGTCGTTAAAGTGACAACTTTACTTTTTTAGCACTTTGAAGATGTCTTTTGCAGCAGATTTTCCCAACACAATACGTCATTTGATTTATTGATTGCTGCTTCCATGGATGTTGATGATTGTGGATCCAAGTAAAATGAAATCCTTGACAACTTCATTTTTTTCTTCCTTTATCGTGATGTTTCTTATTGGTTCCGTTGTGTGGATTTATGTTTTCTTTTTGTTGAGGTGTCATCCATACTGAAGGCTGTGGTCTTTGGTCTTCATCAGTAAGTGCTTCAAGTCCTCTTCACCTTCAGCAAGTAAGGTTGTGTCATCTGCATATCACAGGTTGTTAATGAGTCTTCCTCCAATCCTGATGCTCCATTCTACTTCATATAGTCCAGCTTCTCAGATTATTTGCTCAGCAAACAGATTGAATAAGTATGGTGAAAGGATACAACCCTGACACACATCTTTCCAGATTTTAATGCATGCAGTATCCCCTTGTTCTGTGCAAATAACTGCCTCTTGATCTATGCACAGTTTCCTCATGAGCACTATTAAGTGTTCTGGAATTCTCTTTCTTCGAAATGTCATCTGTACTTTGTTATGATTCACACAGCTGATTGCCTTTGTATAGTCAATAAAACACAGGTAAATGTCTTTCTGGTATTTCCTGTTCTCAGCCATGATCCATCTGACATCATCAATGATATCCTTCTTTCCACCTTCTCTTCTGAATCCGGCTTGAACTTCTGGCAGTTCCCTGTCGATGTAATACTGCAAATGGGTTTGAATGATCTTAAGAAAAATTTGACTAGCATGTAATATTCATAATTTTGTTCAGTAATTTCTCTATTCTGTTGTATCACCTTTCTTTGGAATAAGCAGAAATATGGATCTCTTCCAGTTGGTTGGCTACATAGCTGTCTTCCAAATTTGTTGACATAGATGAGTGAGTACTTCAAGCACTTCATCCGTTTGTTGAAACACCTCAGTTGGTATTCTGTCAATTCCTGGAGCCTTGTTTTTCTCCAATTCCTTCAGTACAGCTTGGACTTTTTCCTTCAGTACCATTGGTTCTTGATCATATGCTACCTCCTGAAATGATTAAATGTCAACCAATTCTGTTTGGTACGGTGACTCTGTTTATTCCTTCCATCTTCTTTTGATGTTTCCTGCATCTTTCAGGCTTTTGTCCATAGAATCTTTCACTATGGCACCTCGAGGCTTGCAATTTTTCATCAGTTGTTTTAGCTTGAGAAATGCCAAGCGTGTTCTTCCCTTTTGGTTTTCTAACTCTAAGTCTTTGCACACGTCATTACAGTAATTTACTTTAGCTTCCTGAGCCATCCTTTGGAATCTTCTGCTCATATCTTTTACTTCATCATTTCTTCCATTTGCTTTAGCTACTCTACAGTCAAGAGCAAGTTTCAGAGTCTCTTCTGACATCCATTTTGGTCTTTTGTTTCTTTTCTGTCTTTTTAATGACCTCTTGCTTTCTTCATGCATGGTGTCCTTGATGTCATTCCACAACTTGTCTGGTCATCAGTCGTTAGTGTTCGAAGAGTCAAATTTATTTTTGAAATGGTCTCTAAATTCAGGTGGGGGTATTCTCAAGGTCGTACTTTGGTTCTCATATAGACTTGTTCTAATTTTCTTCAGCTTCAACTTAAATTTATATGTCAGCAACTTATGCTCTGTTACACGATCAGTCCATGGCTTTGTTCTGACTGATGATGTTGAGCTTCTCCATCATCTCTTTCCATAGATATAGTGGATTTGATTCCTGTGTATTCCATCCGATGAGGTCCACATGTATAGTCACTGTTTATATTGTTGACAAAAGGTATTTGTAATGAAGAAGTCTTTGGTCTTGCAAAATTGTATCATGTGATCTCAGGCATTATTTCTATCATCAAGGCCATATTTTCCAACTACTGATCCTTCTTCTTTGACTCCAGCTTTTGCATTTCAATCACCAGTAATTATCAATGCATCCTCATTGCGTGTTTGATCAGTTAAAGACTGCAGAAGTTAGTAAAAGTCTTCAATTTCTTCATCTTTGGCCTTACTGATTGCTAAGGAAATTTGAATAACAGTTGTATCTACTGGTCTTCCTCGTAGGTGTATGGATATTATCTTATCACTGACAGCATTGTACTTCAGGATAAATCTTGCAATGTTCTTTTTGATGATGAATGTAATGCCATTCCTCTTCAATTTGTCATTCCTGATATAGTTGATCTTCTGACTGTCTTATTCAAAATGGCCAATACCAGTCCATTTCAGCTCACTAATGCCTAGGATATCTATGTTTATATCTTCTGTTTCATTTTTGATGATTTCCCATTTTCCTAGATTCATACTTTGTACATTCTACCTTCTGATGATTAATGTATATTTGCAGCTATTTCTTCTCATTTTGAGTCCTGCCACAACAGCAAAGAAGGGCCTGAGAACTTGACTCCGTTCATATCATTAAGACTGACTCTACTTTCAGGAGGCAGCTCTTCTCCGGTCATTTTTTGAGTACCTTCCAAACTCAGAGGCTCACCTTCCAGCATTTGATCAAAGAATGTTCTGCTGCTATTCATCAAGTTTTCACTGGTTAATTTTTTTCAGAAGTAGACCACTAGGTCCTTCTTCCTGGTCTGTCTTAATCTGGAAGTTCAGCTGAAACCTGCCCATTATGGGTGACCCTGCTGTAATTTGAATACCAGTGGTATAGCTTCCAACATCACAGCAACATGCAAGTCTCCACAGGAGGACAAACTGACTGACGCATGGCAGGGGGTGGTTAGGTTTGACACCATGTAAAAGTTTCCAATAAAACAATTAAAACTGAAAATAAAATGAAGCAAATGAATCTAATTATCTCTTAAGTCTGAGGCTTCACTAGAGAAAATTATTTCAAGTGAATAGAAAGCTCAGTATTTTGACTTTATATCTCTTGTGGGATAAATCCTAAGGACATACACACAACTGTAAAGAAATCAAAGTTTTCAATAATTATACTGTCAGTCTTAACATTGTTGTTGTTGTGTGCCATTGAGTCTATTGCAATACACAGCGGTCCCATACGAGAGACGAAAGCTGCCTCTTGGGTTTGTTAGGCAGTAATCTTTACAGGAGCACATTGCCAGGTCCCTCGGTGCAACTGCTCGGTTCCCACCACCAACCTTTCAGGTAACAGGTGAGCACTTAAACATTGTACCACCATGGCGCCTTTTAATATTGGTGTTGTTATTCTAATGTATAAGTATTACTTCATATTGTTGGTATAAAGCAAATAATTAATTACGTTAATGTTAGGAACCCAAATTTTCAGAGTGAAAGAAAATAGCCACAAATATAAATTCAAGCAAGAAACTCATATTCTAAATTTGAATTTGAAATACTAGCATGAATTGTAAACAAATAATAGTGATGGTTGCACATTGTGAGTGTGATTTATGCCACTGGATTGTACACTTGAAAGTGATTGAAATGGCCAATTTTAAGTTATTTCTATTTTACCACCAAAACCAAAAACTCAATTTGTCCAGTGTGTAGGCATGGTGTCTTCGCCAATGTCACTGATTTAAATGGGACGTCAGGACCATAACTCAAATCTAACAAACCAAAATATGCTGCCACTCAGTTATCAGAAACCACCAACAAATCATAAGGCCTAGTGAGTTGAGTTTAGTGACCTACTAGAATATTTTTACTTTCGCAGAAATATTTCCTTAATGATGCCTTCTACAAACCTGGAGGACCAGTATTTCTGATACTCAGTGGCGAGGGGGCTGCCACAGGAATTTCCCCATCAAGAAACTTTACCTTGAACATATATGCTAAGAGGCTGGGTGCCCTCTTCTTACTTCTGGAACACAGATTTTATGGACAGAGCCAACCAACAGGGTAAATTTAAGGGTTTCCTTTTTGGGGTTGTTCTCATTGCTGTTGCTATTTTCTCTCTCATTTTAATTTTGGCAGTTAAATCTAAATATGTTCTTCTTTCAGGAAGCTGAATATTTGAAAATTCAAATGATCAGAAAGAAAAACTGTAGGTGGAGGTTTGGGGTAGAAGTGACTTTCCTGATAAAAAATTGATATGAAATTTCCTTTGGGTAAAATGTATTCCTCATGTTGTATAATTTCATGTTGAAATTTTGTTGTTTCCTTAAAATGCTTGAACAAAATGTCATAATTATTATTTTTTTCTGCTCCAGTAAAATTTTAAACCATGAAAATTACTCTCCCCATGGAAACAGGGGAAAAGTTTTTGTTAAAAATACTCATCAAAGTTAACTGGGTGTCATATTAAATTTCAGCTTGCAGTGGCAGAGCAAGAAGCAGGAATATGAGATCTTTTTTTCTCTCAATACCTTATTCTTGCCATTTACTATTTTTGCCCTTTCCTCCAGTGGAAAGATATATTTTTAGCTTACTTGCTTACAAACTGTTCATTATATGAAGTCAAGGAAATAGAAAGAAGTTTACAAAGTGCCTTTGAAGGTCATGATAAAGCCAATTTAATGTCAAGGTATCTTATTCTCATTAAAATAAAATTAAGGATTGATTTTTACAACCTTGAGAATGTGATTAGTGTCAGTGAAATGATACCTTTTTTTATATGAGTCATAATTCTTGGTACCGTTTATCATGACACTAGTAATTGCTGGAAGTTTCACCTCCTTCTTTCTTGCTGTGACTCCACAAGTCTGAGTTTTGAATTCCAAGTCTCTTAACTTTTGGTAATAAGGTGACACTCCAATAGCTCCATCACTTCTACATTTATTAGAAACTTTGATGTGTGTGTGTGTGTTGATGATATTATGATAGCCTATGAATACTTTTAAGTCTGAGATTTGTTTATTAAGCTCTCTAAGGAAGTAAATTGCTGTCCAAAAATGGAATAACTTGTGTTACAGAAAATCATTTGCTATCCGAATTAAGTTATTGTGATGCATCTCAGAAAGAGGGTATTAGAAAGAACCTACAATAGAATTTGGTCTTTGATTGAGTAACTTGAGGGAGAATCTAAGGATATGAGAATTTACTCTAGAATTTTCTGTTAGAAAGTAGGCAGAGTTCTATGACTGTTTCAGTAAATCTTATCTATACTTTTCCAGTTACATGCTATTGGTTTGAACTTAATCTGCAACTTCACTTCTGGCTGGAAGGGTGGCTGGGACATGTAGTGTTTATTCTGGGCCCAGCTAACAGACAAGGCTTTAATTACCTAAATCTGAAACCAAACCAAACCAAATCCTTTGCCGTCAAGTTGATTCCCACTCATAGCGACCCTATAGAACAGAGTAGAACTGCTCCATGGGGTTTCCAAGGATTGGCCGTTGGATTTGAATTGCCGACCTTTTGGTTAGCAACACCACCAGGGCTTCCTAAAGCTGAAAAGGAGAGTGAATATTAGGGAGAAAGGCTCTTCTGTAGCTTCTCAGTAGTATAATTGCTGAACAAAGGTTAACATTTTGCCTCTTGAAGCCCTTATTATATGAGGACAAATTGTTTTCAGAATGATTCTACCACTCGATACTTCCACAGGTGGTACAGGAGAGAGCCAGACTCATCACATCCATGCCAACCCTGAATACTAAAATAAATCTTACCAGTTTAATATGAAGGGAAAAATACTCATATGGTGTTACTTTTACAATAGAAAGGGCTAAACAGTTTCACGTATTTTCCAGCCATTTCTGTTTTTCTTTGTGAATAATCTGTCCTTGTCTACTTTTAAATTCATAATCAGCTACTGACAGCATCCTGTAGGGGCAGGGAGTTTTTTTTTTTTTCTTTTTTTTTTTTAGTAATGAAGATTAAAGACATCGTAGGTTTACAGGAAACCTTATCATGGAGGAAATACCACTGAAAAGTAAACAAATTTTATTTACTTTTCTTATAATAAGAAACTTAGATTCAAATAGGGCTCTGTCTGGTTGTAGCAGCAAACCAGAAAGAATGGAAAATAGCATCAGTACAATTAACTAGGTTTTTGTAATGCCTTGGAAATAATTAAATCACTGACATTTTAGCCCTTTTAAAAATGACTCTTCTTTGAATCAGGGTAATAGTGTGATAGCTGTGCTTCACTTCAGTGTGTGGAGAAAGGTCACTATATCGGTGGTGACAGGCATTTCAAGCTTCTTCACAGTAGTGACAAGAGGAAATGACATAATTAAAACGAGACAATTCTAACAATTATTGCTAGCTCCTGCATTTAAGTGTCACTGTAACTCAGATTATTCTAATTAAAATTTCAAGTTGGACCTGGTATAAATACTCAACATGTTTTCAAAATATACATTTTTACTTTATAGTCAAGCTGATGTTAAGCAGCATATTTTCTACTTTAATTATTGCCACAAACAGCGTGAATTTATCCTTTAATTATAGAGATCTGAGTACTGCCAGCCTCCGCTACCTCAGCAGCAGGCAAGCCTTGGCTGACATCGCCAACTTCCGAACTGAAATAGCAAGGAAACTGGGACTCACAGAAAATAAATGGGTTGCATATGGTGGCTCTTATGGTGGTTCCCTTGCAGTGTGGTCGAGAATAAAACACCCCAACCTGTTTGCTGCAGCAGTGGGCAGCAGTGCACCAATTCAAGCAAAACTTAATTTTTATGGTGAGTATTATCTATATATGGGAGTCCCTGGGTGTGGCAAAAGGTTAATGCCCTCATTAACCTGAAATGCTGGAGGTGCAAGTTCACCCAGAGGCACCTTGGAAGAAATCTGGCTCTCTGCTTCCGAAAATCAGCCATTGAGACCCCTATGGACAACAGTTCTACTCGGACACACATGAAGTCATCATGAGTTGGAATCAGCTTCACAGCAACTGGTTTGGTTTTTATGGTATAAATATTCCTATATATGCATATATGTATATATGCATATATATGTATAGATGTAGTATTTATATACATACATATAATAAGAAAAGTATTAGTATGTCAGTGATTACCATAACAAGCATGGTTTAATAACACAGCACCCAGCTAGACCTAAGTCTATCTCCTTCCCCATATGATAGGGTTCCAAGAAAGATGTATATGTTACCCACAGTTGGTACTTAGTACCCATATTTACAGCCATATGATGGGTGATAGCTTCTTAAAGGGTAGAAATCAACAGTCTTAAGATTCATGATATAGCTATTTCCAAAGAAGTGAAGGACAAGCTCTTATTTTTGAAGGACAAAAATTTCCTAGTTTGAAGTTGCCTTTCAATTTTCCTCCTATTACCTGACTTTATGATAAACCATTTATAATTAATGGCCTTAGGATTTTTCCAGGTAGACAAACACTTCTGATTGGCAATTTGGGCCTCTGAATACATATTCCCATTAAAATGCTTAAAGTATAAAATTTTTATTTCATTAAGTTTTTCTTGTAAAAACAAAAATAACCTCCCTCCCCCCAAAAAGGGAGGTAAATTTTCCTTTAATATTTGAACTTTTCAAAGGTTAACAAATATTCAGTCATCATTCCAGTTCAGGTTCCTGTAGCCTTGATAGAATCTTATCTGGTCCAATAAATATGAAGGCTCTAACACTGAGGCATTTCTCTCCCTTCCTCTTTTAACAAGAAAAACCATGTTCCAGTTGATGAATACACGAGGATTTGCAGAGTGTGGTTATAAGTCTTTGTTTACTAGTAATTTTTATTGGCATTCTGGCAAAATCATTTAGTTTTGCAGTTTCTTAACTTTGTCATATTGTAAAACAGAGGTAACTGCAAACTTGAAAGAATCATATCATATAAATGGTTGCAATTAAACCATACTAAATGTACTTTTTTTCTTTTTCATATTCTTAGAGTACAAGGAAGTAATTGGAAGGATTCTGTCTGCTCATAATAGCGAATGTCCCAAAGCAGTGAAAGAGGCTTTTGCTATTCTTGTACAGATGCTGAAACGTCCAAAATACTACAGTAAGCTTGAAAAAGATTTCATGTAAGTGGATTGGCTTGTGTGTAAGAGAGTCTCTGCTTAAATATAGCCTGGTATTTCCTTAAATTTATACAATTTACGTCATTTTCTTATGTTAGGGCTAGTTACCTGAAAAGAAAGGGAGATTTTGAACAGTTCAGTTCCTTTTGAATATTATTTATATTAGCAATTTCTAGATCATATAAGAAGCATGGCTGGGACCTCTGTGGGTACTTTTAAGTCTGGTGGGTGTGCAGGTCAGAGGGCAGGAAAGAGTTGATGCTACTCTTGGGGTCCTCAGGCAGTCAAGGGGCACGATAAAACACTTCCCAAGGAAATGAGAAGCAACTCAAGAGGATCAGAGTCCCTGAAAACAAATCTGGTCATTTCTGTGAAAAAAAGAATGGTGAGGTTTTCCATAAAGTTTGGACTATAAAAATGTACTGTGGTATGGGAGCATTTCAGGAACTGAATAAAAATGTTTTTGTGTTTGGATTTTTTCCCTCTGTTGAATAAGGCAGCCTTTGTTGTTTAAGATCTAGACTAGAGATTTCTTTAACAGTGGTTGTTGCTGGTAGGTTAGGCGCCATCCAGTTGGTTCCAACTTATAGTGACCCAGTGTACTACAGGATGAAACACTGTGTGGTCCTGCATCATGCCAACAATCCCTGTTATGCTTGAGCCCATTGTTGCAGCCACTGTATCAATCCATCTCGATGAGGGTCTTCCTCTTTTTTGCTGACCATCTGCCTTACCAAGCATGATGTCCTTCTCCAGAGACGGATCCCTCCTGACAATATGTCCCAAGTATGTAAGACATAGTCTCGCCATCCTTCCTTGTAAGGAGCATTCTGGTTGTTCATCTTGCAAGACTAATTTGTTCCTTCTTTTGGCAGTCCATGATATAATCAATATTCTCCAACAACACAATTCACAGGCATCAATTCTTGATGATAGTGGAGGACATTCTTTTCTGAAAGTAGGAGAGTCCCCAGGAAAGTGGATTTGGGAAAAGTAGATAAGCTATAAATGAAGCATAAGAAATGATGACATTTGCCCTTACCTTGAAGAACAGAACAATAGATGAAGTGGGAGACAGGCATTCAAAGCCATCACATCTTTTACTCTTAGTAGTACTTAGACGAGAGGAGAAAAATAGAGATAGTGAAAGGCTAAAGATTAATATCATACCAGGCCAAGTATTGAAGAACGGGTGAGGGGAAGTTTTGGAAGCTTCAGAGAATTTGATGGGAGGAATCACAATTTTGCTTGAAGGTCTCATATTAACCATGTTGTTGTGTGTTATCTGCTGTTGACTCATGTCGACCCTATGCACAACCAAACAAAATCCTGATCCTTCCTGTGCCATCCCATGATCGGATGCAAATTGGACAGTTGTGATCCATAGGGTTTTCATAACCATACTCACCTTCTTTAGGTTCCCAGGAGCTAAATTGCGATGTTGATAAAACTCACCAGCAGGGGGAACCATCACCTTAAGTTTCCCTTTTGTGGATTCCAAAGATCACCTGACAGTTAACAGTCAAATCAAAAGCTTTTATGTTTCTGCAGACATGTTGTTCTCTTGTTGCCAGTGGCCTTCGAGTTGATTCAGCTTATGGAGACCTCATGTGTGCAGAATAAATCTGCTCCATAGGGTTTTCGAGGCTGTAAAAGTAAGTTAATGAAATAATTTAGGTCTCTTGATCATGGCCTTCACTATGAATTACACCTCAACAAAAAGATAGCACAAATCCTCACAACTGGACCAATAAGCAACATCATGATAAATGAAGAAACTGTTGAAAATGTCAAGGTTTTCATTTTACTTGGATCCACAGTCAACACTCAAGGAAGCAGCAGTCAAGAAATCCAACTAAATATTGCACTGGGCAAACCTGCTGCAAAAGACCTCTTCCTAGAATTTTAAACCAAAAATGTCACTTTGAGGAAGAAGTTGTCCCTGAACCAATCCAATGTATTTTCAATCGCCTCATATGCATGCGAAAGCTGATCGATTAATAAGGAAGACCAAAGGAGAATTGATGCCTTTGAATTATGGTGTTGGCGAAGAAAATTGACTACACCATGGATTGCCAGAGGAACAAAAAAATCTGTCTTGGAAGAAGTACAATGAGAGTGCTCCTTAGAAGGGAGGATGAGGAGACTTTGGCCATGTTATCAGGAGTGGCCAGTCCCTGCAGAAGGATATTATTTTGGTAGAGGGTCATCAAATAAGAGGAAGACCCTCAATGAGATGGATTTACCCAGTGGGTGCAACAGTGGGCTGAAACATAGCAACAATTACGAGCGTGGTGCAGGATCCAGCAGTTTTTCTTTCTCTCGTACATCAGGTCAGGATGAGTCAGAACCTACCTGATGTCACCTAACAACAACAATCATGGCACTAGAATGGTTGTGATTCTAATGAGATGGAAGCAGTGGCTTTCATCCTCACCTGCTGTCTTCTGTTCATGAAGATCTACTCCAGGCAAAGGCCTCATAAAAGCCACATTTGCCCACAAGGGGGCAGGAGAAGATCATGTAAAAGGGTTAAGAGGCATCTAATACCTTGCATGGGAAACCATCTCGACACAATTGGCCAATGGAAAGTGGAGACATTTGTTTCTTTTAAATCTAAACCTTTCAGATTTTATTATGTATAAATTTTAAATGCTGTTTAAGGAAGAAAGCCTTCAAACTTTAACTATCAATTATATAGGTTACCTTCAGACTGCAGAATAAATCTTGGGCACGTTTGTTACTACATACTCTAACATTCCACTAACTCATTAATGGATAATTTTTTAAAGGCTTTTCCATTTATTTCGCTTTTCTCTTTGCTTCACTTTTCTATTAATGTTCTTCGAGGGCATCAGTCCACTGTAAGCTTCTCCTGGGAAACTCAGCCTGTTTGCTCCATTCAAGTCTAGTCAGCTGTCCGTTGTGAGCCAAAACTCTCAGGGACAGTACCACCTGCTCCAGTCCTAAACCTTGCCTGACGTGCATGCAAACACTAGGGGCACAGCTGCCAAGTCCCTGTTTCCTTCTCTGCCCAGACACTGAAACTCATCACCCTGGAGCTCAGCAGATCTCCCTGCCTCAAAGTTCTTCAGGTGGTCAGACTGTGGCATCCCGTCCCCTCTACCAAGAATGGAATGGAAGGTTCCACAACTCTCTTGGCTTCCTGATTCTGAGCACCAAAGGTTGAAACTCCAGTAAATTCACTCCCACACCACCCCCAGCCTGAGCTGGAATCTGATTCAGGCTTAGTTTACCTCAAAGCATACTAGGTGAGAAACCCTGGACCAGGGCTCAGAAGAGTGGGTTATAGAGCTACTATGTTTGTGTGACTTAAACAGCTGAAGTTCTTTGCTGCAGAAAGATTTCTGAATCTTTCTACGGGCCTCAACGAAACTTTCTTAGCTTTTCTCCCCACCATTTCTGTTCTCTCTTTTTACTTCTTTCTCTTCTCACAGCCTTTCCTCCATTCTAGCTATAATAAAACATTCAGGAGACACTTGACATACTAAGGCAACAATCCTCAACCCTAGATAGAGGTTACACTATAGGAAGCTTTCTTAATATATAGAACTCGGCACTCCCTCCTCCCACCACATACATACTGTATTAGACATCATTACTTCTAGAAAGCTCAAGGGCACGTAAACAGGTTGACAACTATGGAAGAAAGGGAATAGATTCAAGAGAAATACATTCCGTGTAAAACGAAGGCTTATCAAGTCAATACAAGGAAGGCAAAGGTAACTACACCGAAGAAGGGAAGGCTGGCAACAGGGTGAGTTAGATCTTTTCTCCTCACTAACTACAACTGGCATATATATATACATATATATATATATGTATATATATATACATATATATATGTATATGTATAACTTTTTTCTTTTGTATTTGTCTTTCTTTTTTTCTTTCCTCCTCCTCCTGGGTGGAGTAGGGAGACGATTGTCAGTGTGAAGACAACTAGACTGGGCTGCCTGGGCTGGGCTACGCTGGGCTGGGCAGGACTGGGGGGACTCCATGACAACAGGAGGCTAAAGATTCCAGGCAGAGTGACAAGCCCTGACACTCCAACTTGGACACTGGCACCCCAGGCTAGCAGAACACAGAGGAAGCTTTCCAGGGGCATGGTATCTGTTCTCAAGGCCCTGGGCACTATTGCTAAGTAAGAAAAGTTCTTCTCAACAACCTCTCTCCTTCCTGCAAGCTAAAGTCCTTTGCCTCTTAAATATCTGCACTTGTCAAAGTCCCCTCCCTCCAAAACTATACCTCCTTTCTTCTAATTCTCAAAGAAAAACTTATTCCCTGAGACTTAATTACTGATAAGACATAAAAACTTGATTTGAAACTTGGTAATTGGTTACTTTTGTCATATTTGAGGTAATATGTACGATCAGCATTGGCATGCAAAAATGTCCCCATACTTTAATATCTTACTAGAAGTGGATAAATTAAACTATATTGGAAGCTTGATTACATATTTATCATTAGCTGAAATGATTAATGTATATATATACATATATAGGTATACATACATATACAAGTTTGTTAATAAATAATTTTCATGAGGCTGAATATTTCTAAAAGAAGGTCCATAGTAATCAGTAAATTCATAGATTCCCAGAAGCTACTCAGAAAGCCCCAGGCTACATCCTCACTTTCACAAATGATTCTATAAAACAGAAAGTTTAAGTGATTTTGCTCAAAATCACAGAAGAATCATCAGGACCAGGACACAACTGAGGTATCTGGCTTTCAACCTAGTGGAATTTCTAATCAAAGTCATCTCATCACACACATTGAAATGTAGCAGAGTTAATTCTTAAGTCATTGGAGGTTTTGTGGAACTTGACTGTTTAGGTGTAACTTACTGTTGTAATGTAAGTGTAGTTATCAAGCAAAACTACTTGTTACGAAAGCTACATGGAGATGCTTTTTTATGTAGAAGTCACAAATATCAAATTACATTTCCTTCTTCCCTTTCTCCTTCTTCCTCTTTCTTTTCTTCTTTCCCTCCTTCCTTCATCCACTCATCCATCCACCCATACCTCCATCCATTCATCCATCCATCCATCTATCCATCCATCCATCATATACACTGTGACAAGCATTGGGAATATAATAGGAAGAAAAAATGGACATGATCCCTGACTCTCATAGAATTTCCAGTCATGTGAAAGAGATGGACATGAATCAGATATCCACAATAAAACTTAAGATTACAACTACAAACTAACGTAAGTCCTCTAAAAAAAAAAAAATGAACAAGATTTTGCAACATTTTAGAGTAAAGTAAACTAAGTTATCATGAGGACGGGGTAGTTAGACTTCTCCAAGGATATGATGTTTGACCAGCACTGTGAAGAATAGGATCTAGATAAAAATGGCAAGAGGCAAGAAGAGAACATTCCAGAGAGAGCAGCAAGGCAAAATCCCTGTAATGAGAAGACCTGAATAGAAGCCCATATGACTGTAGAGCAGACAAAATGGGAAGGAGATGTGAGTTGAAAGTGAAAGTCTAGGCCATATTGGACTCTGAAGAACCTCGCAGGACATTGGGTGGGAAGCCAATGGCTGGTTTAATGCTGGGGACTATGATGTCATAATTACTAAGCTTCTTCATATCAAAAGCCTCTGATACTACAGAACAAACTAATTTCTGTAAAAGAAAGAACAATTAAAAAATAATGAAAGAAAGAAAATGTTAAACATTCTAAAAACAAACCTCTGATATTAGAGCTACTGTATAATGAATATGATAATAAGTTACCTTAGTCCTTTGGACTTCAGTTTCCTCATCTGTAAAATGGAAGAGTGTTAGGTAAAGTCAGTGCAAAATTCTGAGATTATATCTGTGCTTTTCAACTACCAGTTAATTATGCCAAGCTCTGCCTATAGAAAACAAATGACTGCTTTATTTAAACTTAAACAAGAACAACAAGAGTTAGCATTTAATAATTATGTTAAAATATGTTTTCCTAGAATCATAGAATAGCTAGACTACTGTTAATAGTAGGCTTAGTGTACCGACAAGACCCAAAGACATGTAATATTTAACATACAGATTTCTGGGTCTCTCCCTGTTGTTGTTCTTAGGTGCCATCAAGTTGCTTTGAGTCATAGCAATTCTGTGTAAAACAAATCAAAACATTACCTGGTCCTGTGCCACCCTCACAATCACTCCTTGAGCCCATTTGTTGAAGCCACTGTGTCAATCTATCTCCTTGAGGGTCTTCCTCTTTTTCACTGACCATCTACTTTACCAAGCATGATATTCTTCTCCAGGGACTGGTCCCACCTTATCACATGTCCAAAGTACATAAAACAAGTCTTGCCATTCTCCCTTCGAAGGAGCATTCTGGCTATAGTTTTTCCAAGACAGATTTGTTCATTCTTCTGATAATCCATGCCATATCCAGTATTCTTCTCTACACTATAATTCAAGGGCATCAATTCTTCTTGGATCTTCCTTATTCATTATCCAGTTTTTGAATGCATATTAGGTAATAGAAAATATCATGTCTTGGTTCAGGATCAGCTTAGCCCTCAAAGTGACATCTTTGATTTTTAACACTTTAAAGAGGAATTTTGCAACCAATATTTGCAATGCAATGTGTCCTTGGATTTCTTGACTGCTGCTTGCATGGGTGTTGATTGTGGATCCATGTAAAATGAAATTCTTGACAGCGTCCATGTTTTCTCCATTTATCATGATGTTGCTTATTGGTTCCAGTTGTGAGTATCTTTGTTCTCTCTATGTTCAGGTGCAGTCGTAAGGAAGGCTATGGTCTTTCATCTACATCAGTAAGTGATTCAAGTCCTCTTCACTTCATCATGCAAGGTTGTGTCATCTGCATCTCACAGGTTGTTAACGAGCCTTCCTCCAACCTTGACGACATGTTTTTGTACAAATAGTCCAGCTGCTTGGATTATTTGCTCTGCACACAGATTGAATAATTATGTTGAAAAGATACAACAGTGGCGCAAACCTTTCCTGATTTTAAACCAAGCAGTATCCCCTTGTTCTGTTAGAATCACTGACTCTTAGTCTACGCACAGGTTATCCATGAGCACAAGTGTTCTGGAATTCCCATGCTTCGAAATGTTATCCATAATTTGTTATGATCCACACAATCAACTGTCTTTGCATGGTCAACAAAACATAGATGAACATCTTTCTAGTATTCTCTGATTTCAGCCTTGATCCATCTGACATCAGCAATGATATGCCTGGTTCCAAGTCCTCTCCTGAATCCAGCTTGAATTTCTGGCAGTTCTCTGTTGATGTACTGCTGCAACCATTTTCCAATTATCTTCAGCAACATTTTACTTGCATATGATACTAATGATATCATTCAACAATTTCATCATTCTGTTGGATCACCTTTCTTTGGAATTCGTATGTATATGGATCTCTTGCTGTTGGTTGCTCAGGTAGCTCTCTCCCAAATTTCTTGGCATAGATAAGTGAGCACTTCCAAGATTGCATCTATTTGTTAAAACGTCTCAGTCAGTATTCTGTCAATTCTTGGAAACTTGTTTTTCACCAATGCCTTCAGTGCAGCTTGGACTTCTTCCTTTAATACTTGTCAGTTCTTGATCATATGCTACCTCCTGAAATGGCTGAGCATCAACCAATTCTTTCTGGTAAAGTGACTCTGTAGTTCCTCCCTCTTCTTTTGATTCTTCTTGCTTCATTCAATATTTTGCCCATAGAAACCTTCAATACTGCAACGTGAGTCTTAAGTTTTTTCTTCAGGTCTTTCAGCTTGAGAAATGCCAAGTATGTTCTTCCCTTCTGGTTTTAACTTCAGGTGTTTGCATCTTTCATTCCAATACTTTATTTTGTCTTCTCCAACCACCTTTTAAATCTTCTGTTCAGCTCTTTTACTTCAAAATTTCTTCCATTCTGAGCACAACCCAGTCTTTGAAGACTTCCTGCTACTTGGAGAGATATCATCTTAGAATAGGATACATCACCTCTCCTCCCCCCATGCTGTATCTGAAAAGGCAGTATCCACTCCTTTCTAGGTTTCCTCTATTTGGTAGATTGTTGTTTCTGTTATTGTGTGCTGTGGAGTCAATTCCAACACTTAGTGACTCTATAGGACAGAATAGGACTGCCTGTAGAGTTTCTAGGTTATAATCGTTAATTTATAGAATTAGGTTGTATCTTGATTCAATCTCTTTTGAGATACAAAAGAGAGAGTCAGGCAGAGAGGGAGAGAACTCATCACCACCAAGCAAGAAGAGCCAGGAGTGGATAGCACCCTTTGGACCCAGGGTTCCTGCACTGAGAAACTCTTAGACTAGGGGGAGATTGATGACAAGGACCTTCCCCCAGAGCTTACAGAGAGAAAGAAAGCCTTCCCCTGGGGCTGGCACCTTGAATTTGGACTTCTAGTGTGCAGAATTGACAGAACACCAATTGAGATGTTTCAACAAATGGTTGCAGAACTGGAGGTGTTCATTTAACCATGTCGAGAAATTTAGAAGACACTTTCCTATGTACTACGGACATGTGATCAGGAGGGACTTGTCCCTGGAGAATGACATCATGCTTGATAAAGACTCAGTGATAAAAAGGAGACCCTGAATGAGATGGATTGACACAGTGGCTGCAACAATGAGCTCAAGCATAACAAAGATTGTGAGGATGGCACAGAACAAGGAGGTGTTCTGTTCTGTTGTATATAAGGTTGCTTTGAGTCAAAACTGGCTAGACGATATCTAACAACAATAACCTCCTAAACTATGAGAGAATAAATTTCTGTTTGTTAAAGCCATCCACTTCTGGTATTTCCCTTGTAGCAGCACTAGATAACTAAGACAGGCAGTGACCTCCTCCTGCCCTTTCTTCTTTGGGTCCTAAATTTCATTGACCTAAATGCTGTCATTGTGCTTTGGTTAGTCCCCTGTCAAGGGAGAGGTATTTTCAGTCCTCACTGTGTATTTACTAGGTTTCTGACACTGAGCTATTTCTTCTTCCTTCACAATTTACTCACACTGCTAGGCACCATGTCCCCAGCCATCACCAAAGAACAGATGGGCTCAGAGATTAGGCTCCTTTCCCAAGGTTGGAGGTGGGGAAAGAATCCCTGCAGAACTCCATGCCATGCTAACAGCTATGGGGAGAGGCCAAGATTCAAACACAACAGACTATTTGTAAACATTATATGCCTTGGGTAGGCTGAAATAAAGTGTCAGAGGCAAAATAGATAGTCCTTGTGATCCCTCCCTATAATCTAAGATTTCCTCGGCATCTTTATTTCAGTGTTAGTGACCTGCTAATATAGAATAAGTGTGTATGCATGCGTGTGTGTGTGTGTGTGTGTGTGTGTGTGTGTGTGGTGGCATAGGAATGGGATCAATATATGCATATTGTTGTCTAGTATAATTGGAAAAAGCATTAAATATCATTTTAATCTGTATTAATTATATATTACAGAATCATTCCTTAAAAAATGAGTCTCCTATGATCTTAATTTTTCAGAGATAACTCTTGATCAAAATGGTCACAGAATTTCTGTGGTTCATTGGGTTGACTAAAATGGAAGTATTTTGATAACAGTATTGTTACACAAATGCTGGATGGAATTATTTTCACAGATGTATTTTGAAAACTTAGAAGTAGTGACCATAACTTATTTCTCCTTCCACAGTATAAAATTTCTGAAGAAATCTAGTATTCGTTCATTTTGGACTTTTTTCAATATTTGGGGTTTGAAGTTCAAGTGAAATTGACTTCATTCGTGTTTTCTTATTTTCTCTACCGCAGGTTATGTGAACCTATTAAAATTAACTCACCAAAGGACACAGCCTTTCTCATGGTGAATATGATATGTATTGTTCATTCCTTTGTTCGTAAACAGATTAACAAAATTATTAAGGTAAGAAAATGAAGCAAGAAATGGGCGAAAAGTTATGGAAAAAGAAAGAAAATCTCAAGCAGGCATTCAGTAGTTGTCTAGTTGTGATAAATTAGTTGTAAAGACAGATGTTTAGGTGTTTGTTTTAAAAATTAAAATCATGCATACATGCCTCCAGTCTGAGTACCAAACTAAATGATGAAACATGTGAGCTACCAAATTATCTTAAACTCCAACAACTTCCTCTTCTTACTCATCTTTTATTCAAAATGTACTCAGAAACTCTTTCAAAATAATAGAATAATGGATTCACTGTAGGCTAGAATTCAACTATTTCATTATAATCTTTTACTTCAAGAACTTGAGAAAGTTATCCTGTTAAGTATGATTACCCTGAAATAGACCTATTGAATAGTAACAATTAACCAATTATAAGCAAATAGAAAAGAATCGAATTATGTCTTGTGTAGACTGAAGAGTAAGAGATGGTGAATTTTGGGATTGGAATAAATCTCAGATGCAGGAAATTTAAAAGAAAATTTGAATGTAATTTTTTTTTAGCTTTTTTGCAATGGGTCATGGAATAAGACAGGTTTTGAAATGGAAAATTTGTGAACTTTGGAATAACTAGAAAAATAACTTTTTGGGAGTTTAGGGAATTTTTTTTTTTTTTTTAAGAACGTCAGAGATTAAGGGACATGTCCCTGAAACTGAAGTACCTAACCAAGGCAGCCTCACCCCACAGGTCACTCTGTTCTAACCCAGCCTGGTAACCTGCCAAAGGGAGTGAGGACAAGAAAATTTGTCTGATAGAACAAGGAAATGGAAATGATTTGCAACTTGCACTGACATTTTTTAAAATTATTTTATTTTGAACTAATTATGTACTAACCAGCAATTACATAAAGTATACTGAGAAGTCTCATGTGCCGTTCATCCAGTTTTATCAAATATTAGTATCTTATATAACTATAGTACATTATAAAAACCAATCTACATTGTAGAAATATGGTTAACTAGACTACAGATCTTACTTGGAGCTCAGCAATTTTTACACGCACTTTTTCTGTTTGTGTAAGCCTTGATGATCATGAGTTAAGAACATCTCATACAAGTTCCCAAGGTCCTAATGGGCAGTGTTTCTAACACTTTCCCTTCTTCCCTCCCTCTTTCTCTGCATTCCTTCTCACAGTCTTTCTCTCTCTTCCTCCCTTGCTTCCAGCCTCCCATGTTGAGTACCACTTTAGTGCCAGGCACTGTGCTATGTGTTGGGGAAACACTGGTGAAGGCAGACCATTTGGGCCATGCCCTCCTTCATTGTTATCCTTCCCCTGTTCTCATTCAGATCCTTAATAGGGCTTTCAGTTTGTCTTCCAGTCTCCTGTCTCTCTCCAACCCACTCTTTCCTTTATAAAGTTCTAGATCAATCTTCCTAAAGCACAAAAAAACGAACCTGTTGCTATCGAGTTGATTCTGACTCATAGCAACCGTATAGGACAGAGTGGAACTGCCCCCAGTTTTCAAGGAGCAGCTGGTGGATTCGAACTGCTGACCTTTTGATAGCAGTCTGATCTCCTAACCATGCAGAAATCCTTCCCTGCTAAAGAACCCTTAAAAAACTCTTCTTCTTCAACAGAATGAATTACTACAACATATGTACAGTCTGACATTATAGGAAGTCCCCTTCTTCCAGTGTTCATAACTTATGTTCTAGCCAAATTCTACAATTTGCTGCTCTGGTACTGTCTTAGTTATCTAGTGCTGCTATAACAGAAATATCAGAAGTGGGTGGCGCTAACAAAGATAAATTCATTTTCTCACAGTTTAGGAGGCTTGAAGTCCGAATTCAGGTTGCTGGCTCTAGAGGAAGGTTTTTTCTCTCTGGAGGAAGATCCTTATCTCTTTGAGCTTCTGCTCCTGGGTGATCCTTATGTGCTTTGGCATCATTCTTCTCCCATCTCTGCTTCTTTCCCTTGTTGGTTTAATCTCTTTTATATCTCAAAAAAGATTGATTTAAGATAAACCCTAATCCTGTCTCATTAACATAACAAACATAACCTAATCCTCATTAACATAACCTAACCGTACTTCATTAAAATAACAAACACAACTTATTCACAAATGGAAATATAACCATAGACAAAGATTAAGATTTACAACATATTTTGGGGGGAAACGCTATCCAATTCGTAACAGGTACTCAACTGTACCTCCTTTCTCCTCATGTTACTCTAGCCTTCTTGAATGCCCTTCATGCCTATTCCCATCAAAATACATTAAGTGCATTTCAAAAGCCACCTCCCCCTTGAAATCTCTCCTCATTGCTCCAAGCACATGCACGCTCTACTTTCTTTAACCACTTCTCCCCACTCCCAGTATTTAATCTGTGATCTTATTTTATTGTCCTTGGAAACTCTATGGGGCAGTTCTACTCTGTCCTATAGTGTCGCTATGAGTCGAAAGCGAATCAAGGGCAAGGGGTTTATTGTTTGTATTTTTCTCTACCTTATTTGGGTACATTCCTACTACTAGATCATACCCTCCTTTAGAATAGAGACTCTAACTGGCTTCCAATCAGTTTTTTTGTTTGTTTTGCTTTGGTTTTGGTTTTTTTTTTTTTTTTGAGTATCTGGAGAAGGAACATTGGTTTGAGTCAAGATAGATCTCCATGTCCTGCTCCACAGTTTCTGCCCCTTGTTATCTATGCGACTCATAACAGGATACCCCATGAGGTAGTTTTCCTAGCTCCAAGTCTCTTGGGTCTAATGCATCTACATCATGGAACTTTGTAGTAGTTTCCTAGGGTTACCTTAACAAAGTACTATAAAGGAAATAATAAATAAGTAAATAAATAAACAAACCTGTGGCCATTGAGTAGATTTTGACTCATAGTGACTTTATAGGACAGGGTAGAACTGCCCCACAGGGTTTCCAAGGAGCATCTAGCGGATTTGAATTGCTGACCTTTTGATTCCCAGCTCTAGCTCTTAACTACTGCACCACCAGGTGGTTTTCAACAACAGAAACTTAGTGTTTCACAGTTCTGTAGGCTAGAAGTCCTAATTCAGTCGGAAGTATCTAGGGGAGCTCCTTTCTTGTCTTTCCCAACCTAATGGGGCTTAGCTCTATTTTTCTACATTTGCTGGTGGAATTAGGGTGAAGTGTGATTGATAAGCCAAGCCATAGTACGCAGTTAAGCCTACAGTTAATGTGAAAACTAGTGACTGACTTCTCTCAAACATAGGGAAGCTAAATTTCAGTTGTCAGCGTCTACCAGGCCTAACAAAGATTTGATGTACTGCTCAGCTGAAAAGATACTACACTCTTTCCCAATTAGAACCACATGGTCTGTTTCTGTCAAAAGGGAGTATTTTACTGTCAGATCATTTCCTTCCTTTTCCCCCAAATGAAAACCAGACCAAAACAAAACAAAAAATCTCCACCCCTCCCCCACCCCAAACTCTGGAAATAGAAGTGTCAACATGCCATAACAATATAATATGATTGCTAAAATGGGTGTGTAGAAGAGATATTCCCAGTTCCCTAATTAGTATATCACTAGCAATACATTTTTCTTTCTAAGAATATCTAAGAATGAACTTTTACGACTTTTAACAAGTGAGACGAGAAAAGTCATGCATTTCTGCCCAAATCCCTTTCCTGGTGGACTATGGCATTTCAGTTGGTTATTCCTACATGAAAGGATATCTTGAAGTCAATAACTTGGTCAGTAACAGAAAGCTAGGACTTCTCTCAAGCTCTCATAAATACAACCCACCCCCTCCACCTGGGTTAATCCTCCTTGAGTATCTTTTTCATTAAGTTACTTCTCTGTTCAAAACTTTGAATAATTCCTTATTATTCCATCTCTTCAAAGTTAAAGAATTCTATCATCTAGCCATATTCTATGGTCAATAGCTATTTTCACTATTTTTCTTGTTAGATACATCTTTTGACTGAATAAGAATAATAATATGGTGATGGTTGAACAACATGATGATCATAATTAATGTCACTGAACTGTACATGTGAATATTGTAGAAATGGCAAATGATCTGTTATGCATATGTTGTTGTTGATGATGTTGTTAGGTGCTGTATTGTTGGTTCCAACCCACTGTGACACTGTGTACAACAGAATGAAACACTGCCCAGTCCTCCACCATCCTCACAATAGTTGCTGTGTTTGAGCCCATTGTTGCAGCCACCATGTCAATCCATCTCATTGAAGGTCTCCTCTTTTGCTGACCCTGTACCATACCAAGCATGACATCCTTCTCCAGTATCTGCTTCTTCCTATTAAAATGTCCGAAGTACATGTGATGGAGTCTCACCACCCTGACTTCCAGGGAGCACTATGACTGTACTTCTTTCAAGACAGTTTTGTTCATTCTTTTGGCAGTCAGTGGTATATTCAGTATTAGTTGCCATCACTATAATTAAAAAGCATCAATTCTTCTTCAGCCTTCTTTATTCATTGTCCAGCTTTCATATAAATGTGAGACAACTGAAAATATCATGGCTTGGTTCAGGCGCACCTTTGACTTCAAGGTGCTGTCTTGCTTTTCAATACTTTAAAGAGGTCTTTTGCAGCAAATTTGCCCAATGCAATACTTCATTGGATTTCTTGACTACTGCTTCCACGGGCATTGATTGTGTATCCCAGTAAAATGAAATCCTGGACAACCTCAATATTTTTTGTTTATCATGATGTTGATTATTGATCCAGTTGTGACGATTTTTGTTTTCTTTATATTGAGGTGTAATCCATACTATAGTCATTGATCTTCACCATTAAGTGCTTTAAGTCCTCTTCACTTTCAGCAAGCAAGGTTATGTTATCTGCCCATCAAAGATTATTAATGAGGTTACCTATATACTAATGACAATTATAAAAAAAGTAACAAAAAATACAATAATTATTATATTAACAATGCTGTTTTTAATTGAATAACCTTCGTTCTGCTTACTCTTCTAAGAGCTGCTTTCATTTAATCCTTACAGGAAACTTAAGTGTTAATCTGATTATCTTATTCTTACTATCCCCATTGAGCACATGAGTAAACTGAGGCTTGGACAGTTAACTAACTCAAGGTCACACATCCATGCCTGTTTTCATCATACTCTTAAATATTGCACATCCCTATTACCACTTTTCCTGGCGTATTATTCCCCTTACTTAAAATGCACTATACTTTTTTGTTTTACTTTTATTGTAAAAATATAAAGAACACAACATTTGCCATTCAAACTTTTTCACATGTACAACATAATAAAAACAATTACATCAATCATATTGTGCAAGCATCACCAATACTAACTGCCAAATATTTCATCCCCATAAACAAAAACTTCATGTTACCAAAACAATGGTTCTCCCCTCTCTCTGTCCCTCTTGTCCTCTGGTAACCACTATTAAACTCTAATCTCTATACCTTTGTCTATTCTAGATGCTTCATATTAGTGAAATCATACAAATGCACTCTACTTATCTCTATTTATTTAAATCTTACACAGTCTTCCAGGTCCACCTCAATTCCTACATCCTCACGAAGCCTTTCCTCATGATTCTAGTCCTCATTGACTTCACTCACAATTCCTGGAGTCGCTCATTACTGTTTTCACATTGTATGTATGTTGTCTTCTTCAATCGGATCCTTTTGAAGGGTTGGTTATCATCTTTTACACCTCCCAAAGGTTCTAGCACTGCTCTGGAAAGGTAGAGTACGCTCAGTCAAAGCTTCCTTATCTGTGAACGCTTTCAAAACAAATACTGATCTAAAAACCAAAAAGCCCTTGTTAAAGCAAGTGCTTTTTTGAGCCCTGTGTCTTGAGCAAGTGATGTTGACTCACTTCTAAGAGATTCTGCGAGTTGATAGTTATCAGGAGTTGATCTCCAGGCCAAGTCACCAGACAATATTTGCACCTTATTTGAATTAAAACCAACCACTTAATGCATTGAAAATAATTTTTGGATGTGAGTTCCATTTGGAGCTGAAAGCCATCCCATGTATATTCTCATAAGGATAATTTGAATCTTGGTTTTTGCAGGGAGAACAAGATGAGCTCAACATTGATAACCTATGTGACAATATGACTGACACTTCACTCGGTTCACCATATGACAGATTCACAAAAATTGTACATTTATTCCTTAAGAGTAAACACATGGATTGCCTTAGTGCAAATTATAATGATGAGTTGGAACAATTGTCTAACCCTTCCTTGGACTACCTACATATTAAGTATGGTAATGTATTATCTGGTTAACATGGAAAACTTTCCTTTTGGTGTTGAGCAATGTGAGCACAACAATGTGCATTAAACACTCTTCAAATTGTTAGGCTGCATTAAGCCTCCTGAAGAATTATGAAAGAATGACAACTAAGGGTTTGGGAATCACAACTCAAGGACAGGAAGAGAAAGTGAACGAGTTGATGAGCTGGACATACACAGATTAAATCACTTTAATAAGAGAGGCACAAATACCAAATACTCAGGATTGCAAGATGCAGAATATAGAAAGGTGCCCCTTAGTACTTTTCAACATAGATCAAGTGTCACTGATGCCAAGAAAATAGCTCACCCCACTTCAGATTCCATATAGAGCAGTTGTCAAACTGATTGCACTCTAGAATGACCTAACCTGTTGTCTTCGAGTTGATTCAACTCATAGTGACCCCATATGTTACAGAGCAGAACTGCACCATAGGGTTTTCTTGAAGATAATCTTTTTTGAAGCAGATTGCTAGGCCTTTCTTCTGTGGCACTGCTGAGTGGGGTCAAATTGTCTACCTTTGGTTAGTAGTCAAGTACAAACCATTTGCAACACCAGGGACTTTCTGTAGTCTACTAGCCTATTTGATATCCAGTATAATAATAACTTTAAGCTATCTCCAGTACAACAGTTTCTTATAGTTAACTACCTTATTTTTATGAAAATAATGCATGTCTTCTATGTGTGCCATACTCACCCTCCACCCCACCCTCCCAAGATATTTTCCTAAGCACACTATGCTAATTTTTTACATCTACATGTAAAAAAAATAAGATAGGTGTGCTTGTGAAAATACCTCCGGGGTGGTGGGAGAGGGTGTGTTTGGCAAATATAAAACATATATGTTATCTGTATAAACAGAGTTTAAATTACTCAAAGACGTGTGAATCCTTGATATAGCTGTTATACTTTCGTTATACCGAACGTCTAAGTTATTATCCTCAATTTGATACACTTATTTACTCATCCTACCAATACTGGTAACCTTTGGGGAAGAAGTTGCAGTCCAGCCTGATTAAGGATGAGGAGATGTTAAAGGACAGGAGCATCAAGTGTGCATCCCTTCTTCAAGAGGTTTTCCAAGAAGGACCTGAGAGATTCTAAGGGGGAGTTAACTAGAGGAGGCAGCAGAGAGAAAGGAGCATATTTCCACAGAGGCTGGAAACAGAGGACAGACAGCGAGACAGACCTGAGGTGCTCATAAAGATGGTCCTGGAACTAGAGAGGTTTTACTTCAGGAGCATGTGGGGTTTTCACCAGCATCTCCTTTTCATTGTACGTACTTTCACTTCTTGGTGTGATAATGTTGAACACGACAAAAATAACTTTGCAATGATGAGATCAAATTTGTTTTAGAAGGGCAGGAGCAGCAAGTAAATTAGAATACTTAAATTTTTTTTAAGCTTTTTGCTTGCTCATGGACAAAAAGTGTCATTTCTGGTTAAGTCAACTTATGTTTTGCTTTCTAGACAGGCAATGGTTCTATCAGTGTTGCACTGAATTTGGCTTCTTTGAGACCACGGATTCAAAGAACCAGCCCTTCTCTGGAACACCTCTCAGGTAAACGCTCTGCCTTGAATTATGTTTGTCACTAGAAACCATGATTGCAGAGTTTTGGGTTTTTTGCTTTTCCATATTTAAGGGGAAGAATAAATTTATCAGACTGGCCAGTCCCAAATTGGTGAAAAATTAACAGAGAAATCGTCTGGATGGAAATTCGAGAAATAAAAAATATTCCAATATGATATATAGAACCAAATCTCAGATTTCTGAATATCTTATGTAGTAGCTACCAGGAAACAGACTATAAATTTTAGAGTATTAATAAGAATAAATACATTAGTGGACTCAGTCTTACTTATTACCACTACAGGGTCATTTTATTTAATACTCTTTTACCAAGAAAGTACTTTGTGTGTTTACTGAAAAATCCAGTTAAGTAACATGATGACAGCAAAGTTGTAAGTAAACGAAGATAAATTGTCCATCTCTTTTGAATTCAGTTAGCCAAGATTTGCTGGTTGTATCAAGCAGGACAGCTCTCCCTTAGTCAACTTTATTCTCATTGGTTAATGATCCTTTGTTCATATTTACTGCATTCATAGAGCAAGATATGGTTCCTGAACTCTAGACTTGTGCACTAGAAACAGAAGCTAATAAATATGAAGAACTTTAAAGGCAATTTGACACTTAAAATTGCAAAAAAGAGATTATTTATAAGTGAGTTTCTGTGTGTGCAGATATTTTGTACATAAAAATGCATAGACATTATAACATGTAAAAATACCTTGAAGGATAAAATCATGATAAAAGTATACAGTTGGGGGAAAAGTATGAACTTGGAGCTTATAGTTTCTCCTATCAAAGTCTCCAAACCCTCAAATTCCCTAATGAGGAATGGAGCTATGAATTAATCAAAGTCCAGTGTATTAACTGGACCACACTTTTTAAGAATGGTGTCTGGGGTGAAGGTACCTGTATTGTGGCAAATAACTACTGTAGCCTCACTTCTTTTGGTGACTCTTGCACCAATGTGGAGAGAAGGCCCTTCTACCTTTTTAGCTCTTTGTTCCTTTGCATATCGTTTTTGCTCCTAGGACATATGAGGGGAAATGTTGCTTTTTTTTTCTCCCTTCTTCAGTCTTTCTTATGGGTTCCAGACCCTCCAGGCCAGACCAACTGAAATGGGATGTGTGGAAGAGCTCTGTGTCACACTTCTAGTCATTGGAGACAGTCTCTGGCTCTCACCGCCTCGTGCTCTGTTCCTCTTCAACAACCAGGCAGGCTATGCATTTAACATCCTTCCTCCCTCAGTGGTTACTAGTCTAGGTGTGACCCTAATACTCCACAGCATGTTTTCTCTTTTTCAAAATGGGCGAATGAGAGCTTGACTTAACTAATGCTATGATGAACCTCTAAGTTTTTTTTCTGCCTGCCTTCTCCTGTTCACATAACTTTCTTAATGAATTTGTTTTTCTCCGTCCTGGCCACATGTGACTTATTATCCCCGACATAGGGATTAGAGCCTAGATGTCCGGTACGTATATCTTCAGCCTGATAAGGAGATGTCTGGCATGTATCTCTTTAGTCTGATAAAAAGTCTTTTGTAATTATTTTGTAATGAATAACTCCTCTGGCCATGTGATCTGTGTAATACAAAGACCCTTGTAATCCTTGTAAAAATCATATATAAGCTCTAATCTAAAATTGCCTTTTGGGACTCCACAAAGACAGCCTGCGTTGCTGTCGGACTCTGTGTTGGTGCCATCTGATAAATTAATTTTCTCTCTTTTACTGACTCGGAGTACATTTCATTGGCTCGAATGCTTCAGGGCACGGACCCTAATCCGGCAACACAGGCTTAAGTGTAGATTCATTGGGAAGGCAAAGAATAGGCTTTTCTTCATTCCTTGTTCTGAAATCATAGGTGGCATCCAGGAAACAGTAGCCTGTGGTGACTACAGCCTCCTTACTAAGTCTCTACATTGGGTAGGCCAAGTTGCAGATAGAGAATAACTTTACTGGCCACATTCTTCTCATGCTTAACTACTAATGAAACTAATAAGAGGAATAGGTAGGCTAGATAGATAGATAAATAGATAAATAATTTCCTTCTTAAACTGAAGAAATTCTTTTAGCTATTTTAAGTTACTCAGATTCTCAGAGGAAAACAAAATAACTAAAAAACAAAAAACACTACACTGTTTCTGTAGATATCTTTCATCCACTCCATAACCCTGTTCTCCAGCTCTTACAATTTTCTCTCATTTTCTTTGCAGGTATTTTTTTCAGTTATGTTCAGATGTCTTTGGCCCTGAGTTCAGTAGGGATTTAGTGGCTCAGGGAGTAAAGACCACCAACAAGTACTATGGCGGCTTCAATGTGAACGGAAGCAAAATCATCTTTTCCAATGGTTCCAATGATCCTTGGCACCGTTTGGGAATCACAAAGGATATCAGTGAAGATTTGCCTGCTGTCTTCATTAAAGGTAACACAGTTCTGAACAGTCAAAGACACACAAATAGGATGAAATATATATACAGGTAATAATAAATTAAGGAGGCAAAGAAGGTTCAGTGTTTGAAATCTAGCCTTCCATGAGGGAGACCTGTCTTCAACAACATAAACAGCGACTATACATGTGGACTTCACCAGATGGAACACACAGGAATCAAATCAACTACATCTGTGGAAAGAGACAAAGGAAAAGCTCAAAATCATCAGTTAGAACAAAGCCAGGGGCCTACTGTGGAAGAGACTATCAACTGTTCATACACAAGTTCAAGCTGAAGTTGAAGAAAATTAGAACAAGTCCATAAGAGCCAGTGTATGACCTTGAGTATATCCCACCTGAATTTAGAGACCACCTGAAGGATAGATTTGATGCATTGAATACTAATTACCGAAGACCAGATGAGTTGTGGAAGGACATCATACATGAAGAAGGTAAGAGGTCATTAAAAAGGAAAGAAAAAAAAGACCAAGTGGATGTCACAAGAGAGTTTGAAAGTTGCTCTTGAACATATAGCAGCTAAAGGGAAAGGAGGAAATGATGAAGCAAAAGAGCTGAACAGAAGATTTCAAATGGCAGGTGAAAAAGACAAGGTAAAGTATTATAATGAAATGAGCAAAGACTTAGAGATAGAAAACCAAAAGGGAAGAACCCACTGGGTATTCCTCAAGCTGAAAGAACTGAAGAAAAAAATTCAAGTCTTGAGGTGCAATATTAAAGGATTCTACAGGGCAAAATATTAAACAATTCAGGATGCATCAAAAGAAGATGGAAGGAATACACAAAGTCACTGTACCAGAAAGAATTGGTCAATATTCAGTCATCAGGAACCGACCGTACTGAAGGAAGAGGTCCAAGCTGCACTGAAAAGGCATTGGCCAAAAAGAAGGCTCCAGGAATTGATGGAATACTAATTAAGATGTTTCAACAAATGGATGCAGTGATGGAAATGTTCACTGGTCTATGCCAAGAAATTTGAAAGACAGCTACTTGGCCAACCTACTTGAAGAGATCCATATTTGTACCCATTCCCAAGAAAGGTGATTCAACAGAATACGGAAAATGTCAAATAATATCATTAATATCACACACAAGTAGAATTTTGCCAAAGATGATTCAAAAGCAGTTGCAGCAGTAGATCGACAGGGAGTTGCCAGAAACTCGTCAGATTCAGTAGAGGAAGTGAAACAAGGGATATCATTGCTGATGTTAGATGGATTATGGCTGAAAGCAGAGAATACCAAAAAGATGTTTACCTCTGTTTTATTGACTATGCAAAAGAATTCGAATGTGTGGATCGCGACAAATTATAGATAACACTGTGAAGAGTGGGAATTCCGGAACACTTAATTGTGTTCATGAAGAACCTGTACTTACACCAAGAGGCAGTCGTTTGAACAGAACAGAGGGATACTGCATGGTTTGAAGTCAAGAAAGGTATGTGTCAGGGTTGTACCCTTTCATCATACTTGTTCAGTCTGTATGCTGAGCAAATAATCTGAGACTGGACCATAAGAAGAAGAACGTGGCATCAGGATTGGGGGAAGACTCATTAACAGATGACACAACCCTGCTTGCTGAAAGTAAGGAAGACTTGAAGCACTTACTGATGAAGATCAAAGATCACAGCCTTCCGTATGGATTACACTTCAACGTAAACAAAAATCCTCACAACTGGACCAATAAGCAACATTATGATAAACAGAGAAAAGATTGAAGTTGCCAAGGATTTCATTTTAATTAGATCCACAATCAACACCCTCGGTAGCAGCAGTCAAGAAATCAAGCGGCACATTACATTGGGCAAATCTGCTACAAAAGATTTCTTTAAAGTGTTAAAAAGTAAAGATGTCACTTTAAGGACTAAGGTGTGCCCTGACCCAAGCCATGGTGTTATCTATCGCCTCATATGCGTGTGAAAGCTCCACAATGCGTAAGGAAGACCAAAGAAGAATTAATGCCTTTAAATTATGGTGTTGGCAAAGTATATAGAATATACCATGGACTACCTGAAGAATGAACAAATCAGTCTTGGAAGAAGTACAGTAAGAATGCTCCTGAGAAGTGAGAATGGCGAGACTTCGTCTCACATACTTTGGACATGTTATCAGGAGGGATCAGTCCCTGGAGAAGAATATCATGCTTGGTAGAGTAGGTCAGTGAAAAAGAGGAAGACTCTCAACGAGATAGACTGACAAAGTGGTTACAACAATGGGCTCAAGCATAACAACAATTATGAGGAAGGCACAGGACCCTACAGTGTTTCCTTCTGTTGTACATAGGGTTGCTCTGAGTGGGAACTAATTGATGGCACCTAACAACAACAACATTAATTTGTTGATTTTGCATTCTTGTCTTAAAAGAATCCATTTAGTTCACACAACATCAATAGAGGCATTGCCATTATCAACAGGGCAGTAACCAGTTCTTGAGGGTGAAAAAGTCCACTTTTAACATATAAAACACAAATGCATATACAGTGCATGCATTATGTATACTCAGTACAGAAAGAGATATACAGTGTATCTGGGCTATTAAAATTTTATTGGGAGGATTGAATAGGGAAAAATGTCTAACATGGCTCCTTAAGGAGACAATAGTGGAAAAAAAAAAAAAACGGTTAAGTAACTCTGCTCTAGTTTCATTGAAAGAGGTTGAATTAAGTATTGGTATTTGTACATCTTAGAAAGATAACCATAACTGCAAAGTTGTCAATAATGTTTTAGTACTTCAACCATTACTCTTATTGCTGTATTCTTTCTTTTGTCCCTAATCAGCTAGCTTAGCCTCTAATGCCCAGCTGAGAGAGTAGTAAGTCAAACTAGCTTATGTATTGTAAATTTATCGAATTATAATAACTGAATTTTTTACTTAAATATATGTAGCTTCATTTAAGACTAATTTTTAAATGAAAGATAATAATGCAAGTAATAAGTAAGATAATTTGCATATTCTCCCTTCCTTTGCTATCTAGATGTCGATTATTCATTGAACAGGTATTTATTAGGCAACTACTAAAAGGAGGGAAACTGACAATGAAATGTAGGGACTTGTGGCTGTTTTAAGGATTTGGGGAAATATCAAATGAGAAATGGAAGGGGATTTTAGAGTTTTAGGTAAGGGAGTGAATGAATGTGATGTGCATGTTGAGATACACTCCACTCGCACTGTAGAACATAAACTGCAGGAGAGTGAGAGAGGACCTGCGACACTAGTAAGAACTATTTTCATGAGCCTAGTAGGATGGTTACAGTAGAAATAAAATATTTAGAAATTTAGCAATTGGTGACTGACTGGGACATGGAACACTAGTAAGAATTTGCATGAGCCTGGTAAGGTAGTTATCAAACCAAAAAACCAAACCCATTGCCATTCAGTCTATGCTGACTCATACCAACCATATAGGACAGAGTAGAACTCCCTCATAGGGTTTCCAAGGAGTGGCTGGTGGATTTGAACTGCCAGTCTTTTGCTTAGCAGCCAAACTTAACCTAGCTTAACCACTAGGTCACCAGGATTACAGTAGAGATGAAATGATATTCAGAAATTGGTGACTGACAGGATATAGGAGGAGAGGAAAGAATGAGTACAAAATGAGAGGCTCAGGTTCATACTTATCTATCTGGGTAGAGGATGGAGCCATTCCCTGAGACGGCATACACTGGGCAAGAAAAAGATTTAGGGAGGCCAGGACTCAGGGTGTAGTGGAGAGAAGGACATAGATTAGGAAACTAATTCTGAACACATTCAATTTGAGGTGCTTATAAGATTTTTAAGTGGAAAAATTCAGTAGGCAACTGAATATACCAGTTGTCTATATTTAGAAGAGAGCTCTGATCTATGACAAAATCTCAGGCATTTAGTTGGGCTACTGACATTTCCTGGAAGCACCATTGACCTTTTAAATCTTAAAGCTCCCTGCCCTGAAGATGTGAAATATAAATTTACTTAAATCATAACTGGCATACCTTTCAGCATCATAGTAACACACAAGCCACCACGGTCCACCAAATTGACAGATGGTTGGAGGATACATGAGATAGTCATGGAAAATAATATTAGGGAAGAAGACAGTGGGGTCTAGGAGTGAACCTGCTGTCATACCAACATTAAAAGTTGAATGAAACAAACTGAAGGAGGCAGAGAGGTTGCTGGAAAGCCAGAAGAGTGTTGTGTCAAGAGGGAAAAGAATAGTTCAAGATCTTGGGAGTCATTTGGGTGGAATGTTACCGAGATTTCAAGTAATATAAGAGTGGCAAAAGAGCCGTTGGCTTTAGTGACCTGGGCTGCTTATTGAGCCTTATTCCAGATGACTCAGTAGAAGTAAAGAGAAAGTACACTAAAATTGAAGAGGTGAAGAAAAAGACACAGAAAGCAGACACCTCAACCGTGATGTGTAGAAGAGAAAAAAAACAGCTGCTGGATTAGGGAATAGGGTCAAGGAGGAAGACCCCACTGTAGAGGGAAAGCAGGAGGGAAAAGGGTGCATCATGCACATGGAGGACTGGCTTTCACATATTATCTGCTACAACAGAAGCAAAGAAGTTATGGATTAGGTAAAACACAGTTTATAGACTTGGTGGTAGGAGTTGAAGAAGTTCCTTGGTTGTAAATACCATTCTTACAAATATCCAACCCAAATCAAGAACACTCCCAAATTCCTGCTACTTAGCCTTTAAACTTCTATTTTCTCCAGGAACAATTCCAAAGGCACCTAACCAGTATCCCTCATTTACTCTCATTGCAGCTAACCCGAGAAGTTCTCACTCTCATTGTGTGTGTGTATGCACCTATGTGATAGTGTATGTGATAAAGTAACCAAATTATTGTCCGAAGGCTTATTTTATAAGAAGGAGGAAAAGTCCATTTTGGTTTTCTAATGAAAACAGGAGAAGATACTATTACTATGGTATCATCCAAAGATGAGGTCCTAACATAAATTCTTGGTGGGGAAGGGCAATGCTTTCTCCAAAGCTTGTAATGGTTTGGCTCATTTGGCTCAGTGACTACAAACTCAGTACCAATCTCAAGCCCCTTCTTATTCTTGCAAAGAGTAAACAGCATAAATGTGACCTCAACAGGGACAAAATTGAAACTTTGTTCTTTCATTTTTCTTGCCTCTGCATAGACGTCAAGGATTAGACCATCTCTTAATGGGAAATTACTATTCCTTTAGGGATTAATATAATTGAAATGTCAAAGGACTAGTTGGGGGAATTTTTTTCAAAATCTTAACACAAAAGAGAAGAAATATAACTTAATAAGTTCTTTAAAGGGTCAGTGGTGCTTCCAGGAAATGTCAGGGTTTAGAGGATTTTCTAGTTTTCTGGTCTTTCTCCAGAAGGAATTCATGCCCTTTTCCCACCAGGATGGATGAGATAATATTCATTTTGAGTCACAATCCCATAGACATACACAGGTCAGTGATGCTTACTATAGCTGTGACATGGACACATGCAAGTCCTACACCCTTGTTTCGACTGTCATTTCTCTCATATTCAAGAGCAAGTGATGTATATTGCCATAAGAGAAACTATAAAGTGGGCTCAAAAGAATATGGTATGTATTACACACTATATGTTATTCACAAACTTTGTTGTTGTTCTTAGTTGCCATCAGGTAGGCTCCAACTCATGGCATCCCCACATACAATAGAACAAAATGCTTCTGGGCCCTGCACCATCCTTATGTTCATTGTCATGCTTGAGCCCATTGTTGCCTTCCAACCTAGAGGGCCCATCTTCCAGCACTGCATCACACAATATTCTGTTCTGATCCATAGGGTTTTCATTAGCTACTTTCCACAAGTAGATCACCAGGCCTTTTTTCTCAGTCGTAGTCCAGAAACTCCACTGAAACCTGCCCACCATGGGTGACCCTGTTTGTATTTGAAATATTGGTGGCATGGTTACCAGCATCATAGCAATACACAAGCCACCACAATATGACAATCTGACAGACACGCAGTGGATTCACAAACTATATGACTGTATTATTCAATGAGATGTTAAGAGCCTAACAGATAGCAATTGCTCACTGAATAATAGCTCTGAGGAAGAAGAATCAAACTACTTGGAATAGGTATCCATAGGCGAACAAGAAAAGTATACGACTTTTCTTAGGCACACACACACACACAAAAAAAAATACCAAACCCATTGCTGGAGTCAGTTCCAAATCATAGCGACCCTATATGACAGAGTAGAACTGCCCCATAGAGCTTCCAAGGAGCGCATGGTGGATTCAAACTGCTGACCTTTTGGTTAGCAGCCACAGCACTTAACCACTACACCACCAGTTTCTTAGGCATAGAACCTCCAAAATTTCGTATGGCAGCTGAATATGTTAACCGTTTGTGCCACCAAAGGGCTCATACAGAGATTAAGTCAACTGACCTGTGACTGACAGTGTTATAAGTAGTAAGACCAGTACTCAAAGCCAAGAAGTTTCACTGGAAGTGGTGATCCTTAACTGTTCTTCCATATGCCTCCCAAGAAGTTTTTTGGAGACATAAGATCTTATGCTTTCAAATAGACCTTGAAATCCTGAGAAAACCATTGGCTATCTTTCTTTTTCATGGGATTTAGGAAGACGTGGTTAAATTCATGCAATTAAAAATATTTATGGAGGGTCTACTTGTGTCAGATGCTGTGCTTACCACTAGGGTATAAGGTTGCACATAGTCCCTGCCCCCCAGGAGCTACTAGTCATACATGGGAGACAGACATTGATCAAATAACTGTGTAGACAGCTTTCCTGAGTCAGAAATGTCTAAATGGAATTGATGAATAGAAGAAATTTAGGATTCACCCTCTAGGAAACAAACTGCTTGATAGCTAGAACTGGATCTTATTCATCTTTGAATCCATGGTGCCTAGTACTCGGTTAATGTTTAGAGACTGTGTGCTGAATGAAAATTGGGACTCACTCCATTATAAAAATGAAGTTTAAGAGAACTTGGCAAGCAGGTCAAAGTCTCACGTTCAGGTTGTTCATATTGGCTGAAGAAAAACCACTTATCTCTAGCTAGAGAAGAATTCAAGCCTTGAGCCAAATTTTGTAGATAAATATGCCTTTTCTACTTCACCTCTGTTTCCACATCTCTTTCTTATCCCATTTTTAACTGGTCTTGCATTCAGTTAGCTTTTTGTGCTCCTTGAAAATACATTTTTATGGCTCATTATATTATATAATAATAAAATCAAATTGACATAATAACCTACTTTTTTCTACTACAAATTTCATTACATATTTTTGGATAGTCATAAATTCAGTACATGTCAGAACTATTATTTTACACTTTGGGATGTTCAGACTTGGCCATTGGCCAAAATTAAATGCAGTAAGACAATGGGGCCAATTCAGTGATTGAGAATCTTAATAATTTTTATTTAGTGGGCAAGACAAATAAAGGGGGGCTAAGAGTTGTCATAGGAGAAAAGCGGTAGTTACCCAGGTCAGTAGGGAGAGTGGATATTTTGTTATGTTTGTGGTTGTGTAATAATAACCAGTTCCAACTCTGACTCATGGCAATCGTGTTTCAGAGCAGAACTGTGCACCATAGCTGTCTAAACAGCTGTGATCTTCTGGAAGTAGATGGCCAGGCCTTTCTGCCAAGGTGCCTCTGGGTAGATTCAAACCACCAACCTTTCAGTTAGTAGCCAAGCACTTAATGGACTGCACCACCCAGAGTCTCCTTGTGTTTGCAAAGTGTCCTTGTTTTTGTCTATGTTCAGATATGAGTACATGGTGGTCTTATTCGTGTCTGGTCTCATCACAGTCCTGGCATGACCTGATCTGATGTTGAAATTCTTTGAAATTGCTTATGTTTATAGGGAACACTGTGGTTTGTTACCATCTGTCAGTTGTCAGGTCCTTTGCTTCTTTTTCACAGACAGAACTCTTCTTACTCTTTTACTCTCCTAACCTGAGAGGGAGCCATCTTTATTAGTTTCTTGTTCATCTTTCCAGTGTTTCTTTTTTGCAAATACAATCGAGTATATTCTTATTTCTCCTGTGGCAAAAAAACAAAAAACAAAAAGCAAACGTAGCCTATTATATACAATTTTCTACCCCTTGCTTGTTTCTCTTTTCAATATGCACTGGAGAACTTTCCATCTAAGTACATTGAAGTCTTTCTCATTCTTGTTAATGTGTGAATAGTACTCCATTGTCTAGATGTGCCATGGTTATTACATAATTTTAGCTTCTTAACAGAAATAAGGAGCCGTGGTGGTGCAATTGTTAAGCACTCAGTTACTAACTGAAAGTTTGGCAGTGCCTCAGAAGAACGACCTAGTGATCTATTTTCAAAAGATCACAGCCACTGAAAACCCTTCGGAGCACAGTTCTACTGTGAAACATATGGGGTCACTATGAGATGGAGTCGAATCTACAACCATTGTTTTGTTTCATTTTGTTTTGATCTTTAGTTTGGATGTATGTTTATTTGTAAAATCCTGAGCTCACATTTGAGAGCATTTGTTACATAAACCTAAGCATTACAGGCAGTCTGGTGAACTGTGTTCAATCCTTAGATCCACCTACAATTTTCTTGACAAATCACTTTAACTCTCTCAGGCTCAGTTTCCACATTTGCAAAATTAAGACTTTGACAAATATTTAAGTCTGCATCAAATTTCATTCCTTTTTGATCGTTTCTCATGTTATATGTTTATCAACCCACTTTCTGTGAGCAAAAAAAAAAAAAACCCCTGATGTGTAGCATCTATGGATTTCCATGGTGTAAATACTGCAGTCATGGCCAATTTCAGATCACAGTCTAATATTCAGCTTGCAAATTTTCTGAAAATTAAATAATTGGTACTTGGAGCTGGTACAGTGTGACTCCAGTAGATCTCTGGGAAAACTTCCTAAAATGATTCTCACTGAGATTCACACATTGAAACCTCCCCATTGGGAACTTAAGTTATATCACACTTGAGTTGAACAAAATGGAAACTAAAACATTATTCTCTAAATCTACTACCTTAATCATTCCCTGGAACATCCACTAGTTTGTAGCACAGAAGGATTGTTTAGACCCCAACAGTAACTCACTTTAATAAATATCACGTGTTTACCCAACCTTAATCTACAAAGAAGCTTACTTCTTTGATCGAATCCCCTTATTAACAAACTAATTCTCATTCTTAACGATGGCTGAACATTTTATTCACCAGCTTTTGAAAATTACTGATACCCAACCCCATCCCAGACTAATTAAATCAGAACCTCTGAAGAATGGGGCTCAGATAATGGTTTGTTTGAACAGGGTTCCAGGTGATTCTAATGTGCAGTCCGGGGTTAAGGACGTCTGGTCTTTGGCTATTTGGTATGTAGGTATTCTGACATTTCTGTTTCTCTTTTTAGGTGAAGGACACTGTGCAGATGTGTCAGAACAAGATGATACTGATTCAGCTGAACTAATTGAAGCACGAGAAAAAATATTCCAGATCCTACAAAAATGGCTAAAGCAATAGACTGGACCATTGTGATCCATGGAGTTCACATTGTTTGATTTGCAGTAAAATACAATACTTTTTCCTAGTCCATCTTAGTCTGGAAGTTGTGCTGAAACCTGTTTGGGCATTATAGCAACACGCAAGCCTCCATTGACAGACAGGTGGTGGCTGCCCATGAGGTGCATTGGGTGGAAATCTAACCCGGGTCTCCCACTTGGAAGACAAGAATTCTTGTTTACTTAGCACTTAGTTTCCTAGGGCTGCTGTGATCACAAATTACCACAAAGTGGGTAGCTTAAAGCAACAGAAATGTATTCTCTTTCTCAGTCTGGATGCAGAAGTCTGAAATCAAGGTACCAGCAGGGTTTCACTCCCTCTAAAAGCTCTAGGGGAGAATCCTTGCTTGCCTCTTCCAGCTTCTGCTGGCTGTAGGCTTCCTTGACTTGTGGCAGCACCACTGCGGTCTTGGCCTCTGTCTTCACATGGCTTCTCCCCTGTGTCTCTGTGTGTGGCTCAAATCTCCCTTACCTTTCTCTTATAAGGACACCACTTACTGGATTTAGGGCCCACCCTAAATCTGGGATGATCTTAACTCAAGATTTTTTTATCTTAATCGAGATCTGCAGAGACTCTATTTCCAAATAAGGTCTCATTCACAGGTACCACGGGTTAGGACTTGGACATATCTTTTTTAGGAGGACACAATTCAACCCACTACAGTAGTCAAACTGATCCAAGATTCAATGCAAAACAAATTGACAGAGGCTAGCAAGTGACACATAAGCCCTTTAGCGTGGCGCTAAAGCACTTGGCTGCTAACTGAAACGTCGACTGTTGGAACTCACCAGCCACTGTGTAGGAGAAAGATGTGGCAGTGTGCATCTATAAAGATTTACAGCCTTAGAAACTCAACAGTGGCAGTTCTACTCTGTCCTATAGGATCCCTATTAATTGGAATCGACTTGACAACAACTGGCCTGGTTTTGTTTTGTTTTTTAGTTTGGTTTAAGTGGCAGAAGGAGCCTGGTGGCACGGTAGTAAAGTGCTTGGCTACTAACCAAATGCTCGGTGGTTCGAACCCACTAGCTGCACCATGGGAGTAAGATGTGGCAATCTGCTTTCATAAAGATTTGCAGCCTTGGAAACCCAATGAGACAGCTCTACTCTGTCCTGTAGGGTTTCTAGAGAGTCACTGTGAGTCTGAATTGACTTGACAGCAATGGGTTTGGTTTAGGTTTTCTTAGTGAGTGTCAGAAAGCTTCAAAACAAGCCATAAGGAGAAACTTGAATCCCTAGGACTTGGGGCTGCATTGTTAAACCTCAGATGCTTGCACTTGCCCCATCCTGATGCCTTACTGCCTCACAAAGTGGTCCACATTTCTATAATTTTCCCTTTTGGTGTATATATTTTTTTGTGTTAATATGAGTAACATAGTCAATTTAATTCATTTTAAATGTATGCTATGGGAAAGACATTTTGCATTCTGAAGTTCAATTTTTATTTCCTTGAGGGAGGCATTTTTGTTTTGAAGAAGTAGAATATATTAATTCCATTTTAAGAAAGCGTGTCACTGATAAAAGTTTGCTATATAAAACCTTGCTTTACAGTTCACTTCCATATCTGTCCATAGATCAAGAGTTTTCTGTGTTTTCCTTCCAAACTCTTTCTATAGATTAGCAAAATGTTGATAGTAGAAAGGAAGGAATATGTATTCTTTCTGCTGAAGCAATTTTGTGTTTGTTTGAAAATTATTTTCATGGGATTTCCGTATAATAGATGAGTTAGAAATATTTTTGCCAATTCTAGTGTTCAACCTTACTAAGTAATATCCACATACTTGAGCTAAATATTATTCTTCCAGGATGTAACTAATTCTCGTTGTGGTTTCTATTGTCATATGTTTCCCTTCTTAATCTGGCTCTACATTTTGTCTTCAAAGAATGAGCCATTCCTCTGCCTACTATAAGACAGAAAATTATTAGAAAAATTATTTATTTTCTTTTATTCAGAGCTGGAAATATTTTATTCTCAAACTCCCGAAATAATTTTCCTCTCCCCAAAGTCAATTTTGTTACAAGTTTTACATAAGGCTTGTAGTTTTTCCTAAAAGTTTGTGTAGTTAATTTCGGATTTACAAATTAATTTAATATTGAGTACCAGGAATATTAATAACTAGCTAAGGTGTAAGATAGTCTCACAGCTGAAAGTAAAGACAACGGAAAGATGTTGAATCTATTTAACAAAAATGAAGATATTTCTGAATATTTGCAAAGACACTTCTTCCCCAGTTTAATCTCAGAAGTTGTATGTAATATCAAGTTTAAGAGATATCATTTCAATTGCTGACATTCAGACTCCAAATGTTACCATGCTTTGCTTGAGGACATTATTGCAAAGCTTTAAGTTGCATAATTAAGACCAAGGATTTCATTGTCTCTCTACAGTATTCTGGAAATGATTTAAGTCAACAAACATTTACAGTTTCTGGTGCCTGACCCAGCACCTAATCCTTTTGCATTTTGGTTTTCATTACAAATAATTTTATAAATTCTGTGTTTAAATAAATTTCCTCCTTATCTTTTTCTTTTCTGCTTTCCCCATCTCTAGTCTAAAACATCCTTGCAAGTGTTCTTGCTGTGTGCTTTCTGTTTATTAATATTTTTCTCCGATAAGATTTCTTCCAATGGATAATCAGAGAGTGGCTCACTAAAGATATTTTCACAAATAATTTACAGTGGTATTCAACTATGGTTTGGATTGAAGTCCAGTAATAGGATTTCTCATTTTTTCTAACATAGCCTTCCTTGAACATGCCCTCAGGTTGGATTTTGATGTTTGAAAAATGGAAAATTATCAGCGGCTAGGGAGGATGAGGAAACCCTGTTGGTGTAGTGGTTAAGTGCCAAAGCTGCTAACCAAAATGTTGACAGTTCGATTCCACCAGATGCTCCACAGGAGAAAGGTGTGGCAATCTGCATCCATAAGTAAAGATTACAGCCTTGGAAACTATATGCGGCAGTTCTACTCTGTCCCATAGGATTGCTATGAGTTGGAATTCATTTATAGCAATGGGTTTGCTTGGGTTTAGGGAGGATAAGGAAGGAGGCTTGATGGCTCAATGGATAAATGCTCGGCTGCTAACCTAAATGTCGGCAGTTCAAACTCACCAGTGGCTATGCGAGAGAAAAGACCTGGTTATCTGCTCCAATAAATATTACAGCATAGAAAACCCCATATGGCAGTTCTTTTCTGTTATATTTCATTGTTATGAGTCAAAAATCAAGTCCATGAACTCTTATGCACAGCTTGTGGGAATGTATAATGATACAACCATTTTGGAAAAAGATATGGAGCTTCCTTAGAAAGCGAGAAATAGAAATACCATATGATCCAGCAATCCCACTCCTGGCAATATATCCTAGAGAGACTAGAGCTGTCACATGAATAGACATATGCACACCCATGTTCATTGAAGCTTTGTTCACAAAAGCAAAAACATGGAAACAACCAAATGCCCATCAACTGATGAATGGATAAAAAAACTATGACACATACACACAATGGCGTACCATGCAAGGATAAAGAACAGTGATGAATCTGTGAAGCATCTCATAACATGGATGAAACTGGAGGACATTATGCTGAGTGAAATAAGTCAATCGCAAAAGGACAAATATTGTATGAGAACTCTACTATAAAAACTCATTAGAAGGGTTAGACTCAAAAAGAAACAATCTCTGTTGGTTACGAGGGATGGGAGTGGCGGAAGGAGAACTAAATAGACAGTAGATCAGCGGTAACTTTCCTAAGGGTAAGACAGTATGCAGTACTGGGGAAGCCAGTACAAGTTTTACAAGGAAAGGTCATGGAAGCTCCATAGACACATCCAAACTCTGAATTGCTGGGCAAAGGTCTGTGGGGACCATGGTCTCAGGGATTATCTAGCTCAGTTGGCATAACACAGTTTATAAAGACAATGTTCTACATTCTACCTAGGTTGGGTAGTGTCTGAGGTCTTAAAAGCCTGTCAGCAGCCATCTAAGATACCAGTGGTCTCACCCCTTTGGGATCAAGAGAGAATGAAGAGAACAGGATACAAGGAAACGATTAGTCCAAAGGACTATGAACCACAGCTTCCATGGCTTCCACCAGACTGAGTCCAGTACAGCTAGATGGTACCCGGCTACTACCACTGACTGCTCTGACCAGGATCACAACAGAGGGTCCTGGATAGAGCTGCAGAAGGATACAGAACAAAATTCTAACTCACAAAAAAAGATCAGACTTACTGGCCTGACAGAGACTAGAGAAACCCCGGGAGTATGGATCCCTGGACACCTTTCTAGCTCAGTGGTGAAGTCACTCCCTAGGTCCACCATTCACTCTGGATTGGACAGCCCATAAAACAAAACTAATGAAGCACAGCAGTCCAGGGACAAGGACTAGAAGGCATGAGGGGACAGGAAAACTGGTGATAGGGAACACAAGGTTGAGAAGGGACAGTGTTGACATGCTATGGGGTTGTTAACCATTGTCACAAGACAATATGTGTACTAACTGTTAAATGAAAAGCTATATGTTCTGTAAACCTTCATTTAAAATACAAAAAAAAAAAAAAAAATCAAGTCCATGGAACACAACAACAACAACAAGGGAGATGAGGGGCAGGAGGAGGAGAAAGTGCCAAAAGTCATTGGAGACTCCCTTCCCAGCTATATCTAGTGAGTTATAGGTTCAGTACAGGTTCAGTCCTACGTTTCCCTATCCCAACTCTCTTCAGATAACTTTAGCAACTGAGGCTTGAAGATATAATATTATTTCAAACCCTTTTATTCACACATTCTGACTCTTATCTTTTCTTACCTGAGTTTCTGCAGTACCCTAATAACTGCTCTCCTTGCCTTATGCTCTTGCCCTGCAATCCATCTCCTACTGGCCACTAGGAGGATTTTACTTGAAGTAAATTTGATCAAGTCCATCCCCCTATTTAAAAATTCTGCAGGGACAGTCCATACCA